AGGGAGCTGGTGAATAAATTCTTCTCCTTTCCTTTCCCCTAGATGGGCTGTCCCGAAATGCAATAATTCATAAGGACTTCATGAAAATATCCTAAAAGACCAAGCAATTAAACTGTACTTGTTCCAAAGCTATGGCCAGCTCGGTAACACCTATATTTGTGCTCCCTCCTCCACTTGGTGCCTCACTGCCATCTTTTCCTCACTTCTGCTTCCCAGAGATAGTGCCCCCCAGGAAAGCAGCAGCAAGTGAGTGTTTGTTTGTTTAGGGCAGGCTCTATAGGGCTAGCTAGCACAGTAATTTTGGTAGTGGATTCTTCAAATGGAAAATGAAACATGAAATAAATGATGATTTTGACAAAGTCAAGCACAGGGCCCTGCAGGCTCAAAATCCAGATTGGTTGAGAGCCCTGAGTATGAATACATCTCCCAAGGACAGATTAACATGGATCAAATATAGTGATAGATTGTTAAATCAGAATAGTAATTTCTATCAATGTCCTATGGGCAAGAATACCAGTATTGTCTTAACTAAGCATATTCTATTCTTGAATCTGTTCTTTATAAGAATTCAAATTATAACCCAAAGGATGTTGGGATCTGTTATGGCTAAACTGTATCCTCCTAAAATTCATATGTTGAAGTCCTAACCCTCAGCAATTCAGAATGACTGTATTTGCAAATAGGGCCTTTAAAGAGGTAATGAAGGTAAAATGAGGTCATATGGGTGGGCCCTAACCCAATATGACTAGGTGTCCTAATACAAAGAGGAGATTAAGACACAGAGGGAAGACGATGTGATGACCAAGGGAGAAGATGGCCATCTACAAGCCAAGGGGAGAGGTCCCAGAATGAACCCAATCTTGGACACCTTGATCTTGGACTTCTAGCCTCCAGCCTATGAGGAAATAAAATTTCTGTTGCATAAGCTACGCAATCGATGGTATTCTGGTAGTCCTGGCAAACTAATACATGGGTCATGGAATCGGAATAAGTCTAGTTACAGAACTTGAATAACTAATGTCATTAGAATAAACTTGTCTGATTAGTCCTCCACGATAAAGATCTTGGGGGTACTTCACTTTAACCTCCCACCACATGTAAACACAATAGTTTTTCATTCTAAAGGCTTGAGAACATTTTCATTTCACGGAAATATTCCTATGTCATGGAACTGAAGCTTCGATCAGGTAAAAGTCGCCCTTTATAAATTCATTTCTTACCATTTAGTTTCTCCACTAAATATGAATAGCTCCTCCAGCTTCCTATTTAAAAATCACTTGCAATTTGGATTATTGCTTTTTATTAGAATAGCTGACTTCAGGGGTGGCTGTTTTTTACTTTTGTTATCTGTCCCATGTACTTATTACTCCCTAATTTGCATTAATGGTTCTGTAGGAAAGAGGTAATTACTTTTGTTTCTTTTTTAGGCTTTGTTTCTGTAACAATCAACCTGAATTTTTAAAACACTAAAGTAGCTTAAATTTCAGCTTTATGTCTATTTCTTCTGTTACATAATTTCCCTACTAAAGCTAACCTACTAAAACAATACTCTAATTATGTTTCATATGTGCTATAAAAATTCTGTTTAAAATAAATTACTCTGACTCAGAAAGGAATAACATTTGCTTGAACATTTAGAACATCTGGCATTAGTTTAGAGACTACCAAATTCGTATATAATCTAAAATACTTATTAGAAACGTTCCTAATTTATGCTAATGAATAATTATAATTTTACTAAACACTGTTAATAAGGCAGTGTGCAAACAATCAGGAAAAAATCAGAAGAGTATTATTTTTTAATATTACATTTATTTATGTTAAAAATATATTTCGCTTTCTTTGTTACTTTTAAAAGTAAAAATTGTGCATAGGTCAACATGTTAGTTGTTAACAAAACTCTGGTTAATCTTTAGGGCTACTTTTAAGAAATTGCAATTTGTAACTTAGAGATGTTAAATTCTGCAGAACTGTTACCAGATTGAAGCATGTCTATTCTCTATGTATAATTCATTTCTCTTGTTTCTCTATTAATTGATCTTTTTGCTGAAATAATTTACAATTTCACTAGTTGGTCATTTCACTTTACATCCTTCTGTGTTCTTGGTGTCATAAAAATACCTCCTGTGCTCCTAACTTACAGTCTTCAAAACTCTGTACTAAGGAAGGACGAATGAATAACGATTAAACATAAATCCACTACCTAATTTAAACAGTTAACGCTTTTAAAAAGCTTAAGCTTGTTGCACCTAACAAGAAGAAAAACAAATACACCCAATATTATCATCAGTAAGAAAACAAAGGACATGAAAAATTCACAAATGGAATACTTAGTGAAAGCCAGTTTTATGGAGATTGTTAAAACTACTCCAAAACAATACTAATTAAACCACACACACTAGAGCAGTGCTTTTCAAATTTTAATGCATACTAGTCACCCAGGAATCTTAAAATGGAGATACTGAGGTCCCAAGGTATGGTCACCAGACCAGAAGAATCATCACCGGAGAATTTGTTGTACATGCAAACTCTTGGACCCCACTCAGATTTACTGAATCCAACTCTGGAGATGGGGCTCAGGCGTCTGCTTTAATTAGCCGTCCAGACGATTCTGATGCTCGCTAAGTTCTGAGAAACACTGCTCTAGATACTGTGCCAAGAGCTTGGAGTGCAAACCTGGGGAAGTGACTCTCCTTGCTTTCAAAAATCTCAGTCTAGTAGGAAGAGGTTGGGCTTCTGAGCCAGTAGATACCATTAAGTATGTGATGAGTACAAAAACAGAATGACAAAGTGGCAGCTAACACAGCAAAGGATATAAAAAAGCTTTCCTAGAAAAGGTCATATGAGCTGAGTTTCATAGGGAGTTAGACATCTGACAGCAGTTGTATGTACAACATATGCAAAGGTAACACAGGAGGAAGCTTGGCACCTTTGTAAAACTACAAGTAATTCACTCAAGATGACTTGAGTATGGGATACTGGAGGACTTCCATTCTGGCTTTTGCTCACCTGTCAAAGAATAAAACAAATACCATTGGAGATGATAAAATAATTTACAAATTTGGATCTATTAACTTCCCAGGTAAGGGAACCCACTCCATGAAGAATTTCACTGAGGATGGAAAGTAAAGGGTTTTTAAGTACTAGAAAAGGGGAGTTCATGGGAGTTACTCTAATTAAGCACTGGAAACTGGTACTCTGGATGTAGGACAGAATTAAGTCTGTACACAATTGGTTAAAATAAAATAAAAATCCCGTTGTTCATTCGTCAGGAAAATGTTTTCTATTAAGTCCAGTGAGGAGAGTCTGACTTTCCAGGGTCACTGAGGTTTATGGACCCTTATCAGCTTCCGCCTGCTGTGCTGAAACACAATACTGTAGTCAGTCGATATCTCCTAGGCAAGCTCTTAAGTGGAAAATTTTCCTTTGCCATTCCTCGCTGTAGTTTTTCCTCATCCTGACATGCCAGGATGAGCCACAAAGGATAAGCAAATCATCCCAGTGTCAGTTCTCCATCACCATCTTGGTTTCGGGTTCCATTCTCACAGGATTCCATTGTGTTTATCCCAGTGGTTGCCATCCCTTTTTGATGTGTTATACTTGGAATGTGCAACAACAATTAAGGTCATGTTAATAACATACTTGACATACCCTTTGCGCTCTCCTGGGGTGATAGCAACCTTAGAGGTACTGAATCTACTTCTAGGTGAAAAGCCTGAGAGTTGCTCTAAAAATACAAATGAGTGGCTGTCAGGATAAAAGAAAAACAAAATGAATGCTAAAGTGCAGGCAAGGGAGTTTCAAGAAGGGGAGAGTGGTCAACAGTGTAAAATATCATAGACGAGTACAGCAAGATGAGGACAGGAAAGTGTCTATGGACTTTGACTACAAGTGTAGGTGGCCTCAGTCAGAGCAGTTTCAGAGGATGGGCGATGAAGAAAATGGATGAATGAGTAGAAAAGAGGAAACGGGGCCTGGAAGTGCTCAGCACTCTTTCAGAGAAGCTTGGTTTCTTTGGCTACAATTTACATCAAGTGCTGCCAGGACCAATCTAGTTTTTCCATTTCTTTTAATTTGTAGGGCCAGAAATGTCACACAGTGCTTGAACTAAGGTTAAGAAACCTTAGAAATCACTGATCAACCTACTTATTCTACAAAAGAGAAGAGAAACCTTGAAAAGTGAATTGTCATTATTTTCATGGAGTTTGTTATGTGCAATTTTTAAGTCCCTAAATTTTATAGAAGATATAAAAACACATTAAATCTTGAAGAATTTCTGGAGGTTAAAAAAAAGATTAAAATGTTCAAAGGATTTTTAATAAGTTTTCACAGCCTTGGTGTTTGTAATGATTGTCCTACTAATGATTTTCATGAGAAGCTTCCCATTAAAATCTTGACCTCAGGATACAATGGTTAGATAACACAGTAATAATAAAGATGAAGATATTCTTGACCATTTACTGGGTGCTTATTATGTGCCAAGCACCACTTTACAAAATTATCATCTTATTCAATCCTTTTACAGCAATTCTATTTTACAGATGAGAAAAGTGGGGCTTCCAGGGGTTAACCTGCTTTAGATTCAATGATTTGACTCAAAAACTTTCTAACATTGTGTACAATGACTTGTTTGTTTATTTAACTGTCTGGTAGGACCACTAGAGAAGAGGTAAAAGGCTGTATCCATCCATCGTCCACCACTCATGCATCCCGCAGCCACCCCCTCATCCCTCCACTCACTCATGCCTGTTTCAAGAAGGCCCAGCGCAAGCTACCAAGCCTGAAACACACATTCCGCCAAGGTAGCACTCCACTGCTACGTACCGAGGTCGTCTTCTCCAGCTTTCCTCTGGCGAGCAAGCAAACCCACCCACTTTGAGCGTAGTGGAGCAAATGAGGTTTTCGGGTAGTTTGGATTCCCGGCTTTCCGTAGGAGCCCGCGCTTCTGCAGCCTCTGGCCCCGCCCCTAGCAACGCACTGGCTGCGTTAACAACTGGCCCGCGGGCAGACGCCGAGGTCCGCGGGTGGGCTGTGGCTGCACGGTGCGGGTAGCGTCGTGGTGGCCGAGGCCACGGCCGGATCTTTGGCGACTCTAGCGGCTCTCAGGCGGCCTTCTCTTCTTGTTGGCGGGGCCCCTTTGGTCCCTCGGCTGCGGGCACAGTGTAGGACAGGAGGGCCTCCCACCCCTCACTCCACGCCGCAGCCATGTCAACAAGAGAGGCCGCCGCCACGACTGAGGCCCAGGAACCGGGCAGCAGGATCAAATCCAGCAGCCCTCGCCAAATCCCGGTGGTCGGAGTGGTGACCGAGGACGAGGAGGCGCAAGTACGGGCTGCCGCCGGTGCTTTGGGGAGGGAGGAGGAGGGAGGGAGGAGCGTGAGATGTGGGCGGGGATGGGGCCTGGGGGCAGCGAGGACGGAAATGGGGGCCAGAGTAGAAACGAGGGGAGCCCGCGGGACAGCCGTTCCAAGCGCAGAGCTGATCCCCCGAGAACTGCGCCGCCTGTGATGAGGGTTGGCTGTCGTCATCCAGGCAGTCTGGGGAGTCATGCCTCGTGGTCCTCCCGGACCGTCCCACTAAACTGCGTAGACGACGCTTTGCGGCTCCTCTGCGAAAAGTCTGACCACGACCGGCCCGGGGAGGGCGGGGGGGTCAGGGGCAGGAATGATTCTTAGCGAAAACCTGTATTTGATGAGTACTTTGTTTGCATTGGGCTTTTATATGTAGATCCCTGTTATCAAGTGATGTTTTTGATATAGGCGCAACTTCTCCCGTGTTTAAATTTGCTGCTACTAAAATCTGCACCCAGAGGGGACAAAAACTTTGTTAGAATTAGAAACTAAGCATCGTTTTTATATGAAATTGGAAGCTAGTTTATGTGGTGGTTGGGCAAGAATTGGGAGAGAATAAAATTGATTTGTTTTATTCTTGTCTTTGTTTTTGAGTTTACTTCTGTTATGAGTAGAAAATTAATTCTTTCAAGTTGATCTGTTGAGAAGTTTCACTTGGGAACCCTCACTTGGATCTCCCTTCGTGGCGGGGGTGTTTAGAAAATTCAAGTTGGTTGTTTCATACTAGGGTTCCATTGCCCCTACCCAAGGAGCCAGGATCGTGCCCTAAAACGTGAATTCTGTGCTCGGCCTCCTCACTCTAATGGTGTGCGGCCAGTGGGAATTCCTGTTGAGGCTTCGCAAGTCTCTGGCTGCGTCAGGAACCCTGTCGCCTGCGTCCTCATCCCGGAGCCTTGGAGAGTTCCTTGGGAGGGGCCAGTTGACTGGGGACCTCTTCTACTGTGGGAATAGGGTTGAGCTCTCTGAGGACGGTCAGACATTTACACGGTAACCAGCAGAGCAACAGCACTTTTGCATGAGGAGGAGCAGGTATTAGGGTAATTTACCTAATCGGTTTTGTGGAAGTGTTCCAACCCAGGCGGGAAGAACTCTGAGGAACAGCAGCCCCGCGCTCCCAGGGCTGCAAGGGGGCTCAACGCTACCGCTGTTCTCCCAGGCACGGGGCAAAACTGAGAAGTAGGTGGATTTGGTATCTGATGGCTCTCATTCTTCCTTTACTTGGTGTAAAAAAAAAAGTGGGGAGAGGAGACACGGTTAAATACGAGTCAGGCAAGCATGGGTTAAAAAGAAAAAAGGGAAAATACTTTTAACAGGTTATTACCAAAATAGGCCACAACATACCAAGTAAAGCAAGACACGAATTCCAGTGTATGTATGCATGTATTTTCTCTCTTCCCTTTTCCCTTTCTTTCTTTTTTTCTTTCATTATTACCTCTCTTTCCAGGGCCAGGAATTCTCTTCCAGTTTGTATTAATTAAAGTTCCTATCTTGTTAATAACTACTTAAGGAGTATTCACATTTTTTAAAGTACTGAAGAAAAGGGCAGTTTCTACCAAAAGAAATGAAATAGAATGGAAACTTTTTAGAGCTGAGAGAAATCTTAGTGATCAATGAGCCTTCTTGTTTTTTGTTTGGAGTTACTTTTACCAGTGAGGACCCTAGCGCCATAAAAAGTTGACTTACAGTTACTCAGTTTCTTTACTCGTAAAGTGGGGTTTAGTGCTCTTTGCTATAATTAAAATGATAACCTTTTAGACCTCTACCTTAGGCCAGTAGAGGAAAGACCTTTGGAACTCTAAATGTTTCCAGTCCTTTCAAACCTTTCCACATTGCAACCTCCTCCTTTGCCTACACTTGACAGACAGTATATCCTAGCGGCTAACAGAGTGTGAAGTCTATCTCAATTCATTAAGGCAGCTCCATCATACGCTTGAAATTACAAAGTACATTGTTTGTCTTTATCTATTTCCTATTTATTTTAATGTTGTTCCCCTCATTCTAGAGAATGCCCAAGCCCTTTAGAGCAGTGCTTCTCAACTTTAATGTGCTTTTAGAGTACCTGGGGATCGTATTCAAATACAGAATCTGATTCTCTCGGTCTGGGGTAGAGCCCGGGATTCTGCTTTTCTAACAGGTTTCCAGGTGATGCTATTGCTACCGCTTGGAGGACCCCATTTCCCCCTCTCAGTAGCAATGCTTAGTGTATTACAGCTGCAGTATGGTATGACAGTGCTGCAGTTTCACAACAACTAGCTCCTGGAAAGCTGGAGGAGATAGTTTCATGTGGATTCAGATCATAAAACAAAATAAACAAGAACAACAATAAAATTCCCACCTTCCGTCCCCCAAGCCAGATGATGTGGTAAAAAAACAAGGAGCACCAAATGGGGCTTTAAAGGAACTATTTGCTTTCCTTTCCTGTCACCACAATGCCTCAGTTAGTCCTGGATTACTGTCACACCCATCTAATCAGCCCCTTGGTTCACACTTCTCTTCCGAATCTATTTTCCTTAGACATCACTTTATCATCGTCCTTCCTCCCCCTGAGACTCACCCCTCTTTCCCTGTAGTTTCTTATTGCTTACCTCACCTAACATAATTACATTGGCCAAATAACTGAACATGTCTAGGCCTGTTCCTTTTCTATAAAACTAGCGTGTAACAGATGAATGTTCCCCAAACCTAGGTGACTATCACAGTCGTCTGAAGAGCTTTTTAAAAACTGTACATAATTGGGCCCTATCCCTACGATTGAGATCTACTCAATTGCAACCCCTAGTGTGGATCCTAGGACTCTTAAAAAGCTCCCTCAAGTGATTTTTTTACCCTCAAAACCATTGAACTAGATGATGTCCAAGGTCTCTGTCATCCCTAAAGTGTCTCAGCTCCACTTCTTGTCCTGTTTTCAAGGTTTTCTAATGCACAATCCGTACTTTATGTGTATCGTACACTCTGCTTAGTGTCGCCTCCATGAAGGCAGAAACCTTACCTGTTGTTTTTTCTGTAGTGTCCCCCAGTATTCCCCAGTAGCACCCAGCACAATACCTGGTACACAGGAGGTAACGTTATAAATTTATTGAATGAATGCCTTCCCCTGTTTTCTGAATTTAAATCTTACCCTACCTTCAGATCCTACCTCTCCAACATAAGTACTCCTCTAGTAGGAAGCACTTCCCCTTTATTTTCACTCTCACAGATCTTTTTCTCATAAATGGGTATAGTCCTAGGCTGAGTCACACAATTTCTCACCTAATTATCACTCATGTTGGTCACTGTTAGATTTGTCTAACTCTTATCTCTCCCACTAGAATATGGATTCCTTAAGTGTAGGAAATATATGCCTTTCTCCTCCTCTACTCTGAGCTCAGAGTGTTACTGAACCTCAGGTGGGTTTGCTCACCCATCAAGCAGCAAGCCAATCTCTGATGCTGGGTAGAGTGGGAGAAAGTAGGAATTTTATTGCAAAGCACTGAGCAAGGAGAACGGGCAGCTAAGGAGTAATCCTGAACTCCCTGAAAAGCTACAAGCAAGAGTTTTTGTTTGGAGCTTTAGGGGAGCGGAGAGCATGTGGCCTTGGAGGCTGAAGTTTTAAGACTCCTCTCTGCAGATGCGACTGGCTTTCATGTTTCTTCATGGGTTGCATGTACAAATTCAGGAGGGTTCTATGTGTTGCACGTGGTGGGTTGTTAGTCTGTGATGTCTAAAGTTTACAATCCGTCATTTTAGCTTGTCAATACTCTTGCAGCGATGCTCAGTCAGGCAGGGGGCTGTCAGCAAGCTGCTCTCTCTTATCAGAGGTCCTCCTGCTGTTCTGCAAAACAAGCTCAGAAACTTTGATCATTTTGTTTCCCACGTTAATCTTGTGGGTACAAGGCACAGTTCACCCTAATTCAGGAAAATTTTATCTCCTTTGTCTTCAGTTTCAAGAGTAGAAATTTAAGTCCTTATATGTAGCTTACAAAAGCCTTCTGTGTTTTAGCCACACTGGAGATTTTGTGTATTTTATTCAATACCATGTCTTCAGCTCCTAGAACAATGCCTGAAACACTGTAGGGACCCAGTAAATATTTGTAGCAAAATATGTAATTGTGATTAGTTGACTTGCATAGGTATCATGGCCGAGCTTCCTTGCCCAAATTTGCTCTCCCTCTGAGAGCCTATGAGAACCTCCACAATCTTCTAGTTGATATCACATCCAGCCATTGTCTGTAATACTGCCGTGGACTGTGTCCTTAAAATTGCCTACCTCAGTTTTGGAGTAATTACTAGAAATAACCTCTGTGGTCAATTGAGGAGTCAGGCAGGGAACTAAGATGCAAAGAACCAGTGTTCCTGCATCAGACAGACCAGCTAGCCAATTTACTAGCTATGTGACCTTAATAAATTAGGTCTCAGGGCCTCAGTGTCATCAACAGGGGTAATAATAATACCTTTATATGGAAGATTTGAGGATTAATTGAGATATAAAGTGCCAGACACATAAAAAGACCACAATAAACGTGAGTTCCTTTCCATATAACTAAGTATCAAATAAGCAGGATTTCCCTCTTTGAAATGTCCCTTGGTGAGGTGGGAAAATAAGTTCATCCTATAACTTGAAGTAAGTGGAGGTCTAATTTTCTTCAAAGCAGTTTGTTAAACTTTTGGTCCTAAAAGATTTTGTTAAATGTTTTTACAATTTCTCCATAAACATCCTATGATGATAATAACAGCACTTATTTTGATACTTACATGTGTATGTTCTCTTTTCTTCTGTACTCTGCTTTGTGATCTCATTTACCCAAACTCTTCTAATTTTTACTTTAAGCCTATGATTTAGAAATCTCTGCCCCAAATTTAACTGGTCTCCAGCCTCAACACGAGCCTCCTCCTCCAGCATTCTCTGTCTCAGCAAATGGTGCCACAACTTAGATAATTCCTCAGGCTGAGGAATCATCCTCACCTTGTTCTTCTCTTTCCCAGCAAATCAATTCACTCATTAGTTCCTGCTGGTTCTACCTCCTTGATGTTTTCCGTTCCATTCACTGTTGTCTATCCCAGTTGCTGCTACTTTGGTCAAAGTCTGAAGTTACTGTTGTTGTTGTTTTTTTACTCCAAAATTTATTTACTCCTATAAATTCTCATCTGCTTTTCATTCTCCCTTCATTATCTTTTTGTCATAAGATATTTTTAAGTTGTCAAGAGACAATATCATATAAAAATAGTGTATTTGGTGGGATTCCTTGGTTCTCATGATATAGAATGCTAAGAGTTGTCTGTTTTGTAGCATACTTTCAAGCCTATGGACCTAAATCGTGTCATCAAACTCCTTGAGGAAACTGATAAAGTGAGTAAGCTTTGAGAGAAAATTTCTCTGCTATATCACTTATAAATTGTTATTTCCTTGAAAGATAACACATATTACCCTAAATTAAGTCTCATTTCTCTCCTTTCATTGAAACTGTTTCAAATAATATACGTCTTACATCTAACGACTGTTTAAATTTAGTATGAATATATTTAACTCATAGGGAAGTTTGAGGAGAATAGATTTGGTTTTGTGGCATGGACAAATCCATGGTGGATATAAACAGAAGGAATCATAATAGAGGAAAAAGAGTCATCTAGTCTCAGTTAATTGCCTGTTACCAAGTAGGATATGGGGAGTGAGGGTAGAAAAAGTGCATCATGATGTACTACTTAAGATTTTCTGGGCCAGCCCCAGTGGCCCAGTGGTTAAATTCAGTGTGGTCAAATTCAGCAGCCTGGGTTTGGTTCCCGGGTGCAGACCTACACCACTTGTCAGTGGCCGGGCTCTGGTGGCAGCCCACATACAAAATAGAGGAAGACTGGCAACAGATGTTAGCTCAGGGTGAATCTTTCTCAGCAAAAAAAAAAATTTCCGATATGAAATCAAGATATATACATATACACACACTCATACATACTCATAGGTAATTTATTTTGAGAGAAATCTTATATAGAAAGTAATGGAAATAAAATTATTTCAGACACAAAACTCAAAATTGAGAGTTTAGGCATTGGGAGAAAGGATAATAAATGCATATATACACATGCTCATACACCACACTCTCCTGATGTTATCTAAGAATTGCCTGAATGCCTAAAAGCCAACACACACTATAGAAGTACACAAAATGAAGGAGAGTGCTTATTTTTAATATCTAGAAAATGAGTTGACCAGGTAAAGCCAATCAAAACAAAATAATGTCCTGTGATTAGTACGCACAAAAATTTAGTCATTGTTTTAAGATTTTTTTAGTCTCTAAATTTTTACATAGAGAAAGAAGAAAAAACAATAAGAATAATGTCTCTATAAGAATATTTTATCTTTTGCTGCCTGTGTTTGTTGTGAAAGTTATTTCTTAATTGTGACTGTATCTGCATTTTTTTGAAAAAGAGAATCCAACCGCATAGAGCTCCTACTAGCTGGTGAGTAAGGGTAGCCCCAAAAAAGAAGTATAGAAAATGCCACAGCTTGTCATGAACAATTTAAGAAGATTAAAAGACGGAAGTGATTTGGTCGTGAAAACACATCACTGTATAGAGTTTTGTTTTAATTGGCTGAAGATATTTGGTTTGCACCAAAATACTGTGCATATTTTAGAGGTTAAAAATACAATTTCTGGAGTCAGATTGCCAAATTTGATTCTTAATACTGCCGCTTATTACCTGTTTGATTTTGGACAAATTATGTAGTGTTGCAGCTTGAGTTTCCTTTTCTGGAAAAGAGGGATAATAACAGTACCTTCCTAACAGAGTTGTTTTGGAGATTAATGAAATGATATGTCTATATAGTGCCTACATGGTACACGGCATAGAAAAATCCTCAACATATTTCAAGTGCTGTTAATATTATTTCTGGAAACAGTTACTGCTTTTATATTAACCTGGTCTTTATTCTCAATTTCCTAATCACATTTATTTATTTATTTATTTATTTTTGGTGAGGAAGATTGGCCCTGAGCTAACATCTATTGCCAATCTGCCTCTTTTTTTTTTCTCCCCGCAGTCCCAGTACATAGTTGCATATCCTAGTTGTAGGTCATTTTAGTTCTTCTGTGTGGGATGCCACCACAGCATGGCCTGATGAGTGGTGTATAGGTCCGTGCCCAGGATCTGAACTGGCAAACCCCTGGCTGCCAAAGCAGAGCATGCAAACTTAACCACTCAGACACAGGGCCAGCCCCTCTAATCAAATTTAAGTGGTAGTTTATTTTTATCATCTTTGTTTCAGGAAACATTTATAATGCTTACATTATAATATGATAATTGAAGAATTACTTGATAATCTTAATGTGTCTGCTTTCTTTTTATATCAAAGAAAATTGTTAAAATCTCAACATTTAATAGCACAAAAGAACTAAAATAAATAATTTGTTTTAGGATGATTTAGAAGAAAAGCAAATTAAATCTGTCAAGAAACTCATGGAGTGTTATCAGAATGGATTTGTATCCTTTACATATATGTGTATCTTTGTTTCATTTACACTAAAATGGGAGAATTTCTATTAGAAAATATATTAGTTTCCTACTTCATCTGTAACAAATTACCACAAACTTAGTGCCTTAAAACAACATAGATTTTTTGTCTTATAATCCTGGAGGTCAGGAGTCTAAAATCAGCCTCACTGGGCTAAAGTCAAGATGTTAGCAGGGGTGGTTTCTTCTGAAGGCTCTAGGGGAGAATGCGTTGCCTTGCGTTTCTCAGCTTCTAGAGGCAGCCTGCATTCCTTGGCTCATGGCCACTTCCTTGAAGTAGCATCATTCTCTCCTCTGCTTCTGTCGGCACATGTCCTTCTCTGATCCTCTCCTTCCTCTCTCTTTCCCTTATAAAGACCTGTGATTACATTGGGTCTGTCTGGATAATCTAGGATAACTGTCTGATCTCAAGATTTTTAACTTAATCACATCTGAAAAGCCCCTTTGCTATATAAGGTAAAATATTCACAAGTTCTAGGGATTAACATGTGGACATCTTTGGGCAGGCCATCCTTCTGTCTACCATGGAAAATAGCTAACATTTTGTGTTTTTTATAAAATTATATTTTTTGTTCACCAGAGAATATAAAATTGAAGAAATAGTATAGTGCAGTTAGCTCTGTGCAGGTAATGTCAGTTTCTATAGACTCAGAGAGACAGTGGGGCAATAATTAGGAGGGCCAAGTCAGTCTTGTTTCTACCAATTTACTTGAGCATTTGCACTGTTGATAAGCTTTTTAACTTCTCCACCCTTATAAAATAGGAATAACCACACCTCATGAGGTTGTTAGGAAGACTAGATAAGATAATGTACATGCACGTGCATTATAATCTGCAAAACGTTGTATAAATATAAGATATTATCCCCACTGAATATACCACCCTGATCAGAATATATGGAAACCAGTGTGTCTCAAAACTGTCTACACGTTAAGAACCACTTTGCTGTTAGGTCGTTGTTATTGTTTTTTTAACCTTTGCATATATATGCTGTTGTGAAATGAAATAAAACTGTCATAGGAAACTCACTTTCTGTTGGTCATCTTGCCACACACAGACTAGTAACATACAATTCCAGAACTGGCAATTGTCCATAGACCACACTTTCGGTAGTGTTGATCTAAACAATTTCCAACAGTTGTCCGGCGTGGTCTGAAGATGATATCAGTCTCTAATATTAGCTTGTTCCAGTGTTTAAAAACATCTTAGGCCTCCCATTCAGGGAAATGTGTCTTATAACTCTAACTCTTTTCTTACCTTATTTTAGCCTTGTTTGACATGGATTTGTTGGGTCAGTCAGTTACCTGAGGGCTTGTGGATATCAAGCACTATTTACTGGTAGCCAAGAAAATATAGTAGCAAGTGATTCTTTTCCTCTCTTAACCTGATACATCAACACCTCCATTATTTTTTCTTCTTTAGGTTAGAAAGTTGGTGGCAAATGGCTCTATCTCTGAATGCCTTTAGTAGGCTGTATAGAGGTTGTAAAACGTAAAGCAAAGATAAATTAAAGAAGTATCTTGGTCACTTCTCTAGGAAGTTAACAGAGGTTTGTACTTATAATATTCCTAGCTTGCCCATCTTTTCCTAAGAAGCGCCTAGAAAGAGACTAGAAGTGATCAGATTCAACCAAGAAGTGTGAGTCACAACTACCGTGTTCCCTTAGCTGTAAAACAAAATCTATGAAACTTGTTTAGGTACCAGTTGGGTTTTTAAAATGGGTAAAATAAAAGGTACTTTTACCTAAAGATCTAGAGAGGGCACATTTTGCTTTCATACTAGTTTTAAATAAAAATCTCAACCAATTTAAATCTTAAAAACAAGAAAATGCATCTGACTAATGTTAGTAAAGTAATTCAGAAAAGTAAGGTAGGTTTGGGTTGGCTACTACGGAGCAATGTACGTTTTGTATGTGGGTGGGTGGGGAAGAAGGATATAATTGAGCCATTAAGTTAATTTTTTTCAATGTGTTATTACTCATTGCCAGTAGTAAGTTATTGATCAATTGAATCTGTGGTGTAGTAGTTGGTAATCAAATTCTAAAGGTGTGGGGAGAGGAGAAAAAAATATTTTGAGTAAGAGATTACTGAGACAAAAATTAAATAATATTCCCCCCCAAAATATGGTTCTGTTTTCTTCTTTGGACTTCAAAATTAGTATAGTTAAAACAGTGTCAACCACATTTACAAAATAGAATGCTATAGACTTTCTTGACAGAAGTGCTATAAAGAATATGTTAATAAAAATATGAATCTTAGTTTTATTTCTTAACTAAAAATATTACAGCCCCTAAGGGATTTAGCACAGATATTTAAAATTCTGAATCTGTGTGCAGGAAAAATTGAAAACCAACCTCGTTTTATAGAATCTGCATATAATATCTTAAAATTATGTGGGTAAGTTGTTTTTTTAACTTTATTTTACATTAGGACGCAGTATTTTGTTATGTTTTATTTTGCGTTACAAAGATACCATGAAGTATGGTGTAGCAAAGTGATACAGAACTCAGAAAACTTTACTTGCTCACTTGATTCCAGCAGTTGGTGTTTCAAAGGTAGTCAATTTTATTGTAGTCTGAGATTGCTAGCCACAAGAGATTAAACTGTAAATATATTAAAATGTCTTCTCATGATAAGTTGCTCTCAAGTGAATAAGTGTGAGAAGAAACCAAGACATCATAATATTTTTAGAGAATCCTTGAGAAAACTTGTGGACAATACTTAATAGTTTCAGTCTAATTTTTTTTTCTCTCTCTTTAGAAAATTTCTCTCAAAGATATATTGGGTTCTATGTCATATTTTATTTGATTTTCCAAATTTGAATGAAGACTAAATGTCACCAGTTATTTTTGGTATATATTTTTAAAAATGTAAATTAGAGGTCAGAATTATAAAATTAGTATGTGCCATCCTCTGTCCTATTTTTTCCTCCTATATTTTGGGGGAACTAGGAATCTCTTCTGCTTCCTTGCTGCCACATAGTGACTAACCAAGATATATATTAAAATATCTCTTTAGTTTTCAATATAATATAGTTAATTTCTAAAAGTAGAAATAAACATTTCTGACAATTTAACCTTCTAAACCTTTCTACCAATTAAACTTTTAAATAGTGTGTTTCTTTTAATATACAAATAATAATATTAATAAGACTATGTATACATAGTAGGTTTTAACTCTCCACTTTTAGATTTAGCAGCAATAATATTTAATATTTTATAATACTAACATTTAATTTTTTGACTGAAAAAATAGTCAAAAGTAATTTATTGAATACCTTTACCATGCTTTACTTTTTAATAGAGACCATGAAAAATGAAATAAATTATTGCTCTCATGCCTTCAAGGAATGTTACTGTGCTAATTGGAAATTCCTATTATATTGACATGAGATTATGTTACATAAAACACTTTCAGATTTTGAGTCTGTGCAAGTCCTAGAACACCAGATTCATAAGCATTACTTTCAACATCAGCGCTCCTGCAGAGCTCCAGCAAGAGCTGGTTCTCTCTGAAGGCTGTGACTGAAGCTTTCATCGTATAATAGGACAACTCTCTTGAATTAGACTCTTCACTTTCCCTCATATTTCATAATTATTCACATTATTTACATTTTTTCTACTTTCCTAATTTCTGCTTTCATCCTGCATTTCTCCATACCTCACCCTCACTTGATTCTCTTTTCAAGACATTCTTGGGAGATAAAAACATTGAAAATAAAATAAAACCTTTCTGTTTGGGCCTTTAAGTAGTACGTTTTTCTCATTGCATGAGAAGTATAATACTTATTTTTTTCATAACCTTTTTGGAGGAAAACTTTTCTGATGATTTATCTTTAGGTTGTTTCCTTTGGTAGAAAAGGAAAAAGTTGAGGACAAGAAGAACTAGTTTTAGAGTTTTTCACTTTAGAGATCCAATAATGAGCTGGATAACAAGTAATAAGTTATTTGTTTCAAATGAAAAATTCTATTTGTTCATTCAGAAATGAACCTTTTCATAGCCTGCCTTTGAAATATCTCTCAATTCCAATTGACCTATATATATATATATATATACTACATGCACATTATAGTTCTAAATGCCATTTTTCAACCACTTGGTTTTTTCTTGAAAAAAATGAATTAAAAGTCCTATATATAGGATATATTATACTTTAAATAGCACAGGAAGTTCAAATTTTGAACTTATGAAATGCCAAAATAGTTTATATTTTGTATTTAAGAAATTACTTTCTCTCTCCTTTGACATTTAGAACTAATGACCCTGATTCAAGTGCTCCATCTTTTATGATTTGTAAATAAATTATTTTCAAATCACTTTGCTTATAGTAGTTGTGAAATATGATTCCAATATAATTAATATTTGTTAACTTGAATTCCTTAGTGTCTCAAAAAGTATATCTGTTATTTTGTGGATGATAACTGATCCAGTTAATAAGGAAAAGGTCTCTGACCTTTAAGAACAAAATAGGCCATTGATCTATTAATTGGAATTTCAAAAACTTTAGAAAAAGCCCTTGAACAGCTTTTAAATTACAGATAAGCCTAGATCTGTGATTTTTGTCAGATTATCCCGTATCTTCCTAATTTTAATAGAAGTACAGCTCTAATCCATTATTATTTTACCCTCAGAGAAAAAGAGCTTCTTATGGGTTTTTTTTTATTCAGTGTTACAAGATGGCTTTCTTAACTCTTGCCTTTTATGTCCATCTGTCTTCATTTTTACAAATCTATTTTATTTTCTTTTTGGTTAGTTAGTTAGAAACAAATTTGTTTTGAAAGTTGTCATTTGCCAGGGCCAAAGAATAGGATATTATCCTCATTTTATTCTTTAGAAAGGAAATTTTCCCCTACTTTGCAAATGATGCTTCAATTAAGGACTTCATTAAGTATAATTCGTACATTCTTCATTCTTATTGAAGCTTGCCATTTTTGAAAAAGAAAGCATCAGATGAAATAACCTATGCTGAAGATACTGCTAATTCAATTGCACTACTGGGTAAGTTAAGATTTCCTTAAGATAGAGGGGTGTAACATACAACAGGCCCTACTGATAAGAAAGAAATGTCTCCTTCACTAAGTTTCACTAAGAGTACTTCTCCAAATCTAGGCTCTTTACTTGTTTTCTGGTTGGAAATTAATCATAGTATGCTTGGTGGTAATTTTTGTATTGTTTTCCACTCAGGTGTTTCGTGATACCAACAAGATTCTGTGTTCCTTAAGGTATAAGGACTGGCAGATACTTCTTTCCACTTATTTATCTTGATATTAGTCAGTTCGATGAAATGTTTGTTAACGTTTTTTGTAAATGAGAAGTACATGTCCCTTTCTTTCAGTAATTAGAAAAATGCCTCCAACTTTGAACTCTAATAATTGCTAGAATCTAATTAATTGCTGTAATCATTGAGAGCCAAATTGTTGATTAAATAAAATAAAAAAATCCAAAATTTTAAGTAAAATCATAAAATGGTAGAACATTAAGAACTTTAGCATAACATGCATAAGGATGCAGGTGCCTATGTTTTATGTACAAAAATATCAAGAAATATCATAAACGAGCAAGCATTTGTATTTGGGTTATTGCTCAATTTTCTAGAGAAAGAAAATAATAATTTCCTAGGAAATGAGATCAAACACTAGCTTCTTTAATCAGCCCTTGAGACATGACAGCATGTTCCCAAAAGAAATCCTACATTAAACTTATTAATTTAGGTCTTTGTACAGGGGAAATAAAAGATACACAGTTGGCCCAACAAATAAAAATAAATAATTACTGAATAGTTATGTTCCGAGAATTATACTTCATATTGAAAGATGTTAGAGACTCAACTGGAATAAGTAAAAAGCATTTTTTAATTTTTAACATAGACACCAACCCTTTTATATCTAAATAATTTTCATAGTCTTCAATTGTAGATACTTTGGGAGAAATTATTATGGCCTAGAGTGAGTGAAGGTATCAAGGAAATTAGAATAAACATGACGAGTTAGATAAGATGACTTTAAGGAGCAGGCAGGCTGGAAACTAATGGGAAACTTTAATTCTGTGCATCTCTATCATCAGTGGAAATTTACAATTGGAAGCCAACCCAAAAGAGGACATGATAGTATTAACAGATAAAAAGTGTATGTTTGGTTGATAACATTAAAAAATGCCTCTGTTGCCCTTATTATTTTTAAATGTTGCCTCCAAAAGTGTGGGCAGACATTTTTATGATAAATACATGTCCTGTTGCTTACTGTATTAGTCTGCTCTTTGCTGAATGACTGCCGGCCTACGGAACACATTGCTGTCGCACTTGATGGCGATATGAACTCTTAGCTTAAATGAGCTCCTTTGACTGATTATTGACCGCAAGTACTGCTGTGCTGTCCCTTAGTTTTTTGATTGCAGGAAACTTGAGTTTAAATTAAAATAATTGTATATAGTCAAAAGTGTTGAACAAAGGCGATTCATTATTATGAATAACTTCCAGTTTCTACTATGTACTGGTAAATTATATTACTTTTTATTCTACATGATAGATATTTCTGACTTAAGAGCAGGATTCTGGGAACACACAAAAGAAAAATTTGGTACTCAGCCTTGAGATTATAAATCGGGAAACAGTGAAAAATGATCCAAATTTACAAGAACTAAGGGTGGAAAAGCAGATGAGAAGCCTTAGAATGTCCCATAAACTTGAATGTTTGGTCAGTTTTATTGGAAAAGTTGTTCATATTGCCTAAATTTTTTCAAAACAGTGATCTTTCAACTTTAAAGGAGGGGTCCAAAAAATTAAATTAAGAGAATAATCTTGAAACTGTCTTTTTTTTTTTTTAAGTGCTGTCTTTTGCAGATTCTCCCAAAGCAAGGATGAGGCTTTCCTTTGTGCTCCCTCCTTCATCCACTTGTGTCCCTACTCACTGACCACCCCTAGAGATGAACATTATACAAGACCTAATGCAAAATACTAGTCTTCAAGGAACACCTAATTATCTCTTTCCCTCAGAGAATCCAACCAGACCTGGTTCAGCCCTGAAGCTGATACTCCTGACTTCAGTTGTCCTCAGGCACCCAAAGGGCATGGACCATTTCCAGAATCCCACAGATCATTTTGAGATTCTCTTGGGGACCGTACTTGTAGGACTTCACCAGAGCAAAAGCAATCCAGTTTGAAGTATAGGCTGAAGCCAATTCAGAAGTAGCTTAGATATGGCTGAAAAGGAACTCTCCCTATCCTCCATCCCCACCAAGATTACTTGAACATAAAACTATTAGCTGTAGGGCAAAGACTGCCTAGAAACTCACTGCCTTCCAGTCTGTCAGCAAATCGAAGAGCAGAGCTCGCTTGGAACTTCTCTAAGCAAAGGATGCATTATTAGAAGCAACAATTACTAGCTCTCTGTTTAGGGAGGAAAATGCTAACCCATATCTTGCCAAAATAATAACAGTAACTACTATATGCCAGACACTGTTCTCAGCCCTTTTCTCATATTAACTCATTTAATCTTCACAGCAATCTTTAATGTAGTAACTATTGTTTTACCCATTTTATAGATGAGAAAACTAAGACACAAGTTCACACAGGTGGTAAGTGGCAGAGCCAGGATTTAAACTTAGACAGTCTAGTTCCAGCATTTGTGCTATTAATCACCATTCGTTTCTTCCTGGAAAGGAGGGGCTGAGCTGATTGAGGGGCCAAACATTATAAGGATAGATCCAAGGTGTTTCATGCGTGTGTGTGTGTGTGTGTGTGTGTGTGTGTGTGTGTATAAAATTACATGATCCAATTTGAATCTCTGATGAGGATATTTTTAATAATCGTATTACTAACACTTTATGCTTAAATTTTCAAATAAACTTATGACAATGTTATTAAATAACATTCATTTATTTTTCTGGCAGGTGACTTAATGAAAATACCAAGTTCTGAATTGAGGATACAAATCTGTAAGTGTATTGTGGACTTTTATCATGCAGAACCACCAAAGAAGCATATTACAGGTGAAGGTTGCAATGGTCTTTCAGAAATAACTTATGTCTTTATAAAATAGACTATTCTGTCTTATTTCTCTTTGAACTTAGAAAGACACGATGGGATCATAAATGCGACACATCAAAAACAAAGCTTTTTTTTGTAGCCAGAGCTCTTCAGTCTTTTTAAACAAAAAATTTTATATGTATTTTTTCAACTTTATATTTACATATTTTTATTCTGATGCTAAATATTTATGACACAAATTTTAGTCGTACCCAAGTTAATTATAATTATTACTATTAGCTAATGTTATCTAATATTGTTGATAATATTATTTATTATTTTTCTAACATTTTATAATTATTCATATCTGTCCCACCCAATTAGATGTTAAATTCCTAATGCTAATAACATTTTCCATCATGTTTGGGAGAAAAGTTCTGCATGTCACAGCTAAGGGGTCTTAATATGTAATGGTGAATCATGCTGAAATGGGTGCTATCAACACAGAGCACTGGCACTATGGAGGATATAATGTTATTTAGGACGTACTTTCTACCTTCATACTTTCTGTAAGTTATAATCAATCTAAGAAAAGAGAGAAGATATAAATAATACTTTTCAAAGTTGTATTTTCCTTAAGATAGGTGGAAATAAGACTGTAGTAGAAAAGAAAGATTACTTATGACTAGGGAAAAATAGGAAGATATCTAAAGTAAAGTAAAGAAATGAGTAAAGAGATTACTGAATGTCAAATTTGAGCTATTGAGGAGATAGACAGGTGGAATAGTATTGTATACTAAAAGCAGAGACCAGGTTTGGAATTCATCCAAATAGAGATGAAAAGTGAAGCCATCAGAATGGTCCAGTTTGCTGGGAGATCAAGCATATAAACAGCAAGACACCAAGAATGGCAACATGAAGAGTGGCCATATTGAGATCTTGAAAAAAATGATCCAAAGAAATTGGCAGTGAACAGAGGCTCAAAGAGGAGGAAGAAAACCTAAAGACTGCCATGTCAGTGTGCCAGTGAACGAAATGTTTGATGAGGGAAGAAGTGCTCTCAGTGTCAAATACTGTAGAGGATTCTATAATTGAGAAATGAAAAGGCTAAGTTAATGTGGTATCTAAAAAATATAATTAATGTTTGGCAAATCTGTTGCCTGAAAGTGGTCAGGGCAGATAGAGAACTAAAGAATGAGAGGATTGTGAGAGGAGAGGCTGTGGGAGTGAGGGAGTAAAGGCAGTGAATGCAGACATGTTTTAAGATCAGATGGTGAAGAAAAAGAAGGAAAATCTAGCACAGCTCAACTGGTAGCAAAAATCAAAGAAAGATATTTAGATTTTGTTGTTGTTTATTTGTTTTCAGGGTAGGGGAACATGAAGTTTGTAGGCAGAGGAAGAAGAAGCTACTAGGTGAAAAATGGGAGGGTGAAATTCCCAAAGAAAACATGAGAGGATGGAATTAAGAGCACAAGCTTAGGGTTAAGCTTGGAAAGATACAGGCACCCTTCTTTAAGATAGACAGGGAGACAGTGGTGTAGAGATAGAGAAGTTAAGGTGCAGAGAAGTGAGGTTGACCTTAATTTAATCAGGCTCTGAAAATTAAGAACCTTAGGCAATGCTCTCACTAACTGTCACAGTTGCTTTCAAATGATGGGCATGGCTGGGCATGTGGGACCATAGCTGAAAAGTCTTCAGTAGAGCAATTGTAAGAGACATAGCCCTAAAGACAGGAATCAACACAATTTTGTCACTGTGCGAACATCATTGAGTGCTCTTACACAAACCTAGATGGTATAGCCTACTACACCCTAGGCTTTATGGTACTAATCTTATGGGACCACTGTTATATATACAGTCTTTCATTGCTCAAAACGTTATGCCACACATGACTGTATTTGAGGCAGAAACCTTATAACCTGCAAAGTCTAAAATGCTTACTACCTGGCCCTATGTACAAAAAGTTTGCCTATCCCTGTACTATACCATTTTAAAATGCCATACACTTTTTTAAAGTTTTTGTTGTTGCTGATGCTTAATGATAAATTACTCATTCCTTTGTCTTAACATAGACAGTACACATGATTACTATGTGAAATAGCTGTACATATTTGTTAAATGATTGTTGTTAGGTTACCAGCAAGCTAGTTCATCATATAAGATTCAAATGGCTGAAGTCGGAGGATTGGCAAAAACAATGGTCCTGTCATTGGCCTTGCTGGAAAATCAACTTGTTGAGAAACTTTGGGTGCTTAAAGTTCTGCAACATCTCTCAACTTCTGGTTTGTATAGTATTAAATTTGAACTTGTCAGTTTCAGTTATTTTTGTTTCTATCTAGCAATGTCAAGACTGTACAACATAATTTAAAATTTTTTTTCAGAAGTTAATTGTACTTTAATGATGGAAGCACAAGCAGCCAGTGGAATCTGTGTTCACCTCAATGACCCAGATCCCTCTGGACAGCTTCTATTTCGTTCATCAGAAATACTTTGGAACTTATTGGAAAAAACTTCAAAAGAAGAAATCATACAGCAGCTTAGTAATTTGGAATGTTTGCTGTAAGTACATGTGGTTATATAGGAATATTTTTTAACCTTAAAATGATAGGCAGTGGCATAACTAACATCTTTGTTTGAATTTGTGTTCCTTTAGGCTTTTGGTGATGTAATGCCTATGTTTCAGGATATCTTTTTTGTGCCATGGTATAAAGGCATCTGCACAATTACAAGCCATTTTTTTCTTTCTTTTTTTTTTTTGAGGAAGATTAGCCCTGAGCTAACTGCTGCCAGTCCTCCTCTTTTTTGCTGAGGGAGACTGGCCCTGGCCTAACCTCCATGGCCGTCTTCCTCTACTTTATATATGGGATGCCTACCACAGCATGGCGTGCCAAGTGGTGCCGTGTCCGGACCCGGGATCCGAACCGGCGAACCCCAGGCCGCTAAGAAGCAGAACATGCACACTTAACTGCTGCGCCACTGGGCTGGCCCCCAAGCCATTTTTTTCTATGTGGAAGGTTTTTTAAAGTAGCTGGTTAACAAAACTAAATTATGTCTTTGAATATATATAAAGTTCGACATTTAAAAGAACTATTTCATTTGTTCATTCAGTTCATTCTCAAAAAATCCATTTTTGGGAATTTACTGTCTTCCAGATACCACAGTAAGCATCAGCAATAAAATATGAGTGAGCCTTTAAGTTACTTATTCATTTATTCATCAAATAATTATTGTCTTCTCTGTGCCAAGTTCAGTACTAGGCCATAGAATACAAGTGAAAACAATGGAGACATGATCTCTGCTTTCGTGGAATTTGCGTTGTTAGGAGAGATGGACAAGTAAATAGGCAACTAAAAGAGAGCATATTAAATGTTATGAAAGAGATTATCACAAGGTGCATTGTGTTCTCCAGAAGAAGGCAATCAGAACATTTCCGTTTGCACGTGACTGAACATCCAACCCAACTGATTTAAACCATCGAGGAAATTCATGGGCTCGTGTAACCAGAATGTACGGCTGTTTTCAAGGCTCAGTAACTATCAGGACTTGGGCTCTCTTCATCTCTCTGCACTGTCTTCCACTGTGTTGTCTTTATTCACAAGCTCTACATAGTGAGACCTAAGAAGTCTAGGTTCACATCATCACAACCCCAAATCAAGCAGAAAAGACTTGCTATTCTGAAAGCTCAAAGAAAATTCTTCGAATTGAGTTTCTGATGGCCCTAAGTGGTCTGGTGTTTGCTATATGCCTATTCCAGAGTGAAATACTAACGGTAGAGAAAAGGGATACTCTGACTGGCTAAAAGGAAGTTGAAGGTAGCTTCACAAGACCAAAAGTGGGGAAAGAGTGAATGCCTAAATAAAAATAAGGGTACTGTTCTTCTTTTTTTTTTGAGGAAGATCTGCCCTGAGCTAACATCTGCTGCCAATCCTCCTCTTTTTGCTGAGGAACACTGTCCCTGAGCTAACATCCGTGCCCATCTTCCTCTACTTTAGATGTGGGACGCCTGCCACTGCATGGCTTGCCAAGCGGTGCCATGTCTGCACCCGGGATCCAAACCGGCGAACCTGGGGCTGCCAAACTGGAACATGCACACTTAACCGCTGTGCCACTGGGCTGGCCCCCGGTACTGTTATTCTAAGAAGGGCAAGTTGGTCCTAGGAGGCAAAGCAACAAATGCCCGTTGTCCAGAGAACCTGACCCAGACTTGGAGAGTTAAAATGCTTCCTAAGGAACCCTGTCTGGTGTCTGAATGATAAATCCAAATTGGCAACACAGAAGAGTTTTACATGCAGAGAGATCCTAGACAGAGGAACAGAAGTGAACATAGAATTGAGCAAAATCAAAAAACTGAAAGAAATTCAATATGGTAAGAGCAGGAAGTACAGGGTAGAGTAGTGAGAGATGAAGCTAACCATGTTTGCAGGGACCATAACATGAAAGGCCTGTTAAGCCTTTCTAAGGAGATATATTCTTATCTGGTACACAGTGAATTAGGGCACATTTGGAAATGTAGAAAAGATTAGAAATACTTTGAAATGAATAGTATAATATAAAAAGGGAGATTTTGTTGATAGGCAAAAGTAGTATTTCCATAGAAATGTAGTTTTAAAGATATGATTTTACTTTCTAGGACTTTGAAGGAAGTATTTAAAAATCTGTTTATGAGAAGTTTTAGTCATTATGATCGTCAGCTTAGAAACGACATATTAGTGATCACTACAATTATAGCTCAAAATCCTGGAGCACCAATGATTGTAAGTATGAATCAAATTGTATTCTTTTTAATTGTGGAAGTGTTGCGTTTTGGGGAAGGGAGTCTTACACTATCTTATAATATTTATGTACTTGTAATGTCGTGATTGTCACCAGTATACTTACACTCTGCCAAGTCTTCTTTGCATCCTTTTGTAAACTTGAGATCCTCTTTATTTTTTAATCTACTTATATATTTACCATTTATGATGTGTTTCTTTCCTTCCTGGTGATATGAGTCCAACTAAGATATCCCTGTCAGGAATGCATTCCCTCATGCCGAAATGTTTGCAATTCTGGTCATTCTTCGGGGCTTTTCACATTAAGTAGGAATGATTTTGTTATCTCTTGGCCAAACCTTTGACATAATGAGAGTGGTTGGGATCAGAGTGCAGAGCAGGGGTGTTTAAGAAGAAAAGCTGTTGAAAATATTTGTATTTTCCTCCCTTATTTTGTCACTTGAAAGTATAGATAATGAATTACGTAAGTAACTTGTGGTCTTGATACATTTTGGGTTCTTACCAAATTTTAAACAGCATCCTGTAAAATATTTATAGAATAATGTAAAATATTTCTTAGAACCTACAGAAGTAAGTTTAGTATTAAATAAATTACAAGTTAATCTGGCTGTATGCTTTTATTTCTTGCTTTCATCCCTTCCTATTGTTATTATTCAATGACAAGGGGAATCTGATAAGATACTTAAATATTAGGTAAATATGGGCATCTGTAACTTAATTTCCATCTACTTAATTCATCCTTTTGTTTTGTGTATCTATATTAGGAATCTGGCTTTACCAGGGATTTGATACTATTTGCAACCTTTAATGAAGGTAAAAACCATGAAACTTTCAACCTATGGTTATCTCGATGAGGCTTATACATCATTTTAGCTTTTATTTTATGCTTTCTTTTATTTCCCTTCACAGTTAAAAGTCAAAATCCTTTGATCAAAGGTCTTAAACTTTCTAATTGCTATGAAGATTTTGAGTTGAAGAAATTGCTATTCAATATAATCGTGATCTTAAGTAAAGATTTACCTACTGTACAGGTAAAGAGTAATCAAAACAAAAATTAAAATTGTCTTACTTTGTAGAATAACTTTTTTTAAGACATGACTGCAAATCTTTCGTCGACCCATATGTCTACCATAGAAAGTAGCAAGCTCTTATTGGCCAGAATTTCACCTTTTCAAAATATTCTTTGCTTATCTGTTAATAAACAGTGAACTTACCTAAATTTAAACCACATAAACCAAAGAAAAGCAGGAGAACCTTAGGGATGTATTTATGTATTTAGATCTCCTAAATAATAGAACGTAAAATGCAGGAAGATCCAGATAGGCTCATCCAGCCCGCTAGTCTGTCTCTGGCCACACTCACAAGGGATGAGTTAATGCTGGAGAAAGCTGCTCACCTCTGTGCTGCCAGTTTCAAGCCCTTAGGAACCTACTTTTTTTCCACACAAACCTATTTACATTTTTTTGTTATTATCCATGAATTGTTATTAATACTTTATATCCTGCATAACAACATGATGTAATTTGAAGAAGAGTGGAAGTGAATTTCATTTCTGTCTTATCACCTACTAGCTATGTGGCCTTGGCAAAATCACCTAAGCTTTCTGAGGCTCAGTTCCTCCTCTGTAAGAGGAAAGTTATAATACTTCTGCCCTGCTCCCAGGGCTATTGTGAGATTGAGAGGAAGGCTTTATAAACTATAAAGCAATAGAAAACAATCTATGAACAATTCCATTAGTTTAGTTATTTGCTGCATTAAGGGAAATTTCATTTTAGTCCTAAAACTCTTTCAAGCTCCAAGGGGTTTCCTTGGAACAGAAGTGGGAAGTCATTCTATCCACGTCGTTAATGATAACATAAGGGTGGTATAGTATAGTGATTAAGGCTTTGGTCAGGTGGAATCCAGTGCTGTCACCTTCTAGCTATGTGATCTTGAATAGACTGTTTAGTTTCTCTAAATCTCAGGTATCTCAGCTTCAAAATGGCGATAACATCTACCTCGTGGAATTGTTATGAGGCTTAAAAGAGCTCGGAATTTTCTTGGTACTGCTACTTTGAGGAATATATATACGAAAAATGCTCAGAAAAAGAAAAATTGTCTTTACAGTTATAACCTTTTTATATCAAAAATACATATTCTATAGAACCTACATGTATTCTCTGAAATACCAAATAGAAACTCCTTCAGTAAAATATAGTTTATTACTACAGTGGAGTATTATATAACTATTAAAATTATTGCTATAAAGACAAATAAAATTTACACTATAGTTTATAAACCAACTTTAGTTTGACAACAGAGTCAAATGGCACAAAGACTATGGTGAGCTTTTTAAAGCACTGTGTGAGCAGTGGAGTCAACTAATTTTTTTTACGTTATATTTTTGTGGGCCAGTAATAGTAGTAGTAGTGAATATGTGTACTCTTATTTGCAGTTCACAGAGTATTTCAAAAACCTTGTCCACTTAATCCTTATAGTAATGCTAGAACTAGTTGTTATTCTTATTCCTGTTTTCTCACTTCTAAATCTTGTGTTCTTTCCATAGGGACTAGTACAAAATTTAGAAAAATTCATAGATGTTATTGTGAAAAAGTCTTTATAGAAGAATGCCAAATGTAGAGAAAATTGAGTAGACTATAGCGTATGATTTGTTACTATCTTCTGAACCATAAATACCTGTACATATCAATCAGAATCAGCTATAATATTAATTGTCAAATTATAATAGCTATGCATTTTTGTTTTATTTTTCCTCAAATCATTGATTCAATAAAATTTTAAAATTCTAGGCGTGTAATTAAATATGGCTTGTGACCTGACTGACATTCATTGGATAGAATATTTGTATAAGTTCTGTTGTGCATCCTTAAAACTTAGCCATAGTCATTGCTTCACACAAAATTGATTTTTTATAGTATACAATTGAGTCTGTGAAATGTTTCCTTTAAAAAAAAGAGGGAAGAGAGATATGCCAGCAGTTTATTTGCCCCAAATGTTCTACTCTTGTCGTTTTTTTCCTAGGCAAGAACTAAAACAGCATAACAAAAAATAATAATACTTATTTTATATTATTGTCCGCTAGAGAGTACATATCCTAGAAAAGGGGATCATAGCTAACTGTTGTTATTGAGTTTGGTTTTTCTGTTTTATTTTGGGGTTGTTTTTTGGTGGGGGGGGGTATTTAACATAGGTTGGGATCTTTAGGAAGGAAATATTTTGACAGGATCAATAAAACATCAAATTGGAAATCTTAATAATTTTCTTAGATTAAATAAAATTATTTTAATTATGTTTCTAACAATGTACTTTTTTCCCTTTCCCATAGCTATTAATTGATGGCAAAGTTCTTTTGGCTTTGTTTACTTATGTTAAAAAGCCTGAGAAACACAAAATAATTGAATGGTCTGCAGCACAGTATGAAGAATTGCAATTGCATGCAATTGCCACTTTGTCATCACTGGCTCCTTTATTAATAGAAGAGTATATGCTATACCAGGGAAATGCCCGAGTCCTTGCATTTCTAGAATGGTGTGAGAGCGAAGGTGAGTGGTCCTTCAAGATTCCTGTCAAAACTCTAGCCTACATATTTCAACTGAACTCTCAATATATGTATAGAAAAAGAAATTAATTAAGCAAAGAGAAATAAAAATATAGATCTGGCTTCCTGTGATTTTAATGTATTTATATGTTTTTTAAAAAACCTTGAGATTTCATTTAAAGTCAGACATTAGTAAATGTCATAACTATAGTTGATGCAAACCACTCAGTAAAAGAAATCATTCATGGAGTCTGATTTAAATTTTTGTATTATTAGACGTATCCAACAATTATACTAAGTCCTAGCAATATTTTAATTAATCATTTAACAAATATTTATTGAATGCCAACCAGGAACTGGATATTGTTTTAGTTGCTAAAGATATATTTATGTTCAAAATTAAATAAAATTTCTACCTTCATGGAGCTTAAAATCTAGATCTCTAGCCAGAAGTAATGACTCCACATGTAGTCTACCAAATTAGCTGAGCCTCACTTTGCACAAAGATTTTATTTCAATTCTCATAATTCTTAGAAAGCAAATGAGAAGTACTGCATTCTTTTCTAGCAGTAATCTTACTCTTGAAACAGTTTTGCATAGCGTATTTTCATTAGATCGAGAATATCATTCATTTATCCACGAGGGAGGAAAAAATTGTAAGCTTTTTTTTTATTCTCTAGTTTCTAATATGCTGAGTTACTAAATTTAGTCTTGTTAAATTACTGTGCATTAAATAAAATAATTCTTCTGTGTCCTTTATATTATTTATGTTTACAGAAGACTATAAGGCAAAACAGGAAATGCTGCCTAACGAGAGGAAGACTGATAGCTAACAGTTATTGAGTACCTACTATGTGGTAGGCCTAAACACCTTACAAGTATTAACTCGTTTAGTGCTCATAACAAATCTAGGAGATATAGGTACTATCATTATCTCTGTTGGTCAGATAGGTAGAACTCAGTCAGAGAAGTTAAATAACTTATTCCTGGCCATACAGTTAAGTGGCAGAGCCAGGATTTAATGCAAGCAGTGTAGCTCCAGAACCCACCTTTGTAACCTACACATAATAGAACAGTATTTTGAACTTTTTTTTCTTAAGCTTTAAACATAAAGCTACTTCTAAAAGAACCTTTTAAAGAATGCATATCGTAAAGAACAAAGGAGGACTTGCCTTGCTGTTTATCAAGACCTATCATAAAGCAATGGTAATCAAAATTGTATGGTACTAAACCAGGAATAGACGAATGGAATGGAATATGTGGGAAGTTGGCATTATCAGAGATGATACTGCCAATCAATGAGAGAAAGATGGTGCTGGGGCAGTTGGACTTTCATGTGAGAAAATAAAAATTAGATTCTTTCACCTTGTTAAAAATAACTGCAAAATGAATTAAAGCCCTAAATATGAAAAGTTAAACTGTAAAAATCTTAGAAGAAAACATGGGAAAATATGGTTATGATAACAGAGTAGGAAAAGATTTTTAAAGACCAGAAGAGCTTAAACCATACAGGAGAAAATTAATGCATTTAAGTAGTGTAAAACTTAGAAATGTCTGTAAAACAAAATCTGAATAAAATAATCTACAGACTGAGAGGAGACATTTACTATCCCTATAACTGAGAAAGGATTAGAATTCAGGTTCATAAAGAATTCCTACATATCAAAAAAGAAATAACTCAGTAAAGAAATAGACAAAGAATAAGGACTGCCAAGTCACAAAATTTGAGAGACAGTCTTTTAATGCACATTAAGATAACAATGAACTACCACTTCGCATTTAACAGATTGGGAAAATTTATTCGTCTTATACATTGTAGCCATATAACCACTTTGGGAAACAATTTGGCAACTTTAGTAAAATTCAATGTGAGTATCCCCCATATGATTCTGTGTCACATAACAAAACTCTTCTCTGTGGGAATAAGAGGACTGGAGTCAGAATGTTTATTGTAGCAATTTGTACTAGTGAATGGACAAGCTGTGACTTATTTATAAAATGAATACTGAAAGCAATTAAAATGAATGATCTAGATCTACTTGTGACAATGAATAATTTTTAAACCATAATGTTGAGTAACAGAAGCAAGTTACAAAAGATACATATATATTTGAGTAAAATTTTAAAGAACACATTTTTATTCTGGGAATAGAAGGAGGAGGGGGAAGGGATAATATTTATTTTTAAAAAAACTAAAGCAAGCATGACAAAATTTTAATATCTCTTTAAACTCATATATATATATATGATGTCTGATATATTTTGTTTTGTTTATTTGAAATGTTTTATGTTTTAAATTTCTTGATGTAAATTAAATTATTAATATTTCCCTGCAGAGGCCTTCTTTAGTCATGGGAACAGTTTTCACGGTACAGGTGGCCGTGGCAACAAGTTTGCCCAGATGCGTTACAGCTTGAGACTCTTGAGAGCCATGGTCTACCTTGAAGATGAGACTATAAACGAGGATCTGTGTGAAAAGGGGACGATCCAGCAACTGACGGGTAAGACACAACATGTTTGTATGCTGATGAAAGTAGAATATTTATAAATTACAGATTTTGTTTGAAATGTTTTTTTACTAATTTATTTTGTCTTTATAGCTGAGAAACTCCTAACATTTCCTTGATTTTTGTTTCATATTGTTGCTATAAATCAGTTTGTCTTTACTGAAACATTGTGATAACTTATCCTTTAACTATTTGTTTACTCAATTCAGATACCATTTCATTTAGGATTATCTTTCCCTTTTTTTTAATGGGCTATTGTCATGTTTCATTCTTCTAGTAATATGTTATCACTTTTTGGCCAGACCTTTTGGAGTCATTTTAAAAGAGTGAATCTGACAGAGCAGAACACTGGTATGCTGGTATATACAGAAATGCACACAGGAGATTCTTTTCTGATATGAAATATCAGGATATCCTTGATTTTCAACTTAGAATTGACTATGCTAAATCACCTTATCCCCCAAAACACATGCATGTGAGTTCAGTGTAAAATTCAGAATCCTTAAACAAAAGCCTTTTACCTTTTGTTAATTAAAAAATAAATAGTCCTCTGGTCCTAACCTTTCCTGACTTTGAAAAGTAAGAGCTATTTTAGTTATAGTCATATTCAGTGATTGCCTCATGAGTAAGTGATATAATTTGCTGTGTGTCAATTAATTACAAATGCCTACTCAAAAACTCTTTTATCTGTTAAGTTAAGGTGCCTCCTGCTCCATCTTTAGTGGAGTGGAATGGTGCCTTCTAATAATAATACTAGTAAGAAAATAAGGATATTGAAAACGGGCTAGACAAAAACATTCACTTTCTTGATGAGTCTACTTAGGATGACCATACCTGAAAGTAGATTTTTTCATTTCCATGCACATTTCATTGTACAGAATTCAGTCTTAAGGCCCTAGCCTAACCGAATGGAGTCTAGGAAACACAATTCTCCATATGTCCAGGAAGAAGTCTTAGTCTAACCTTGGAGGGTAAGTGGGGTAGGGAAAAGGGAAAACAAATAGCAAGGGTTCTTTTCTTCTTAAGATCTTTCCCTTTAATTTGAAAAGCACTGATTTTTATCATGTGAGTTCTTGGAGGCAGGGAGCTTCTCTTACTGAATCTAATGGAGGGTTCTGTAATAGTAATGTGCTCAACAAATAGTAATTGCATTGTAAATGTAAATGTTTATACACCTTTTCCATAGGCACTGGGATCACAAACATGTACAGAGCAGAGAACAAAAGAAAAGATGAATATCATAGAAAGATAACATGTGTTACCCTGCACCATCAGTAAGGCACCTAATGAGTAATACAGAGAGTAAATACCACAGAAACTAAGAGGTTTGGGTAGTTTTCAAGGCTGGGAATCTTAACAGGAACTTTTATTGAGTTGGGGTGTGAGGTAAGGTTAGTTTCAAGAGGAAAAAAAAGAGATGGTCTTTCAAGCAAGGGGACGTCATGAGCAGAGACATGGTGCTAAAATATGCGTGATGATGTGTTCAGAGTTAGCTTAAGTACACTTAGAGTTTTATGAAGACAAGTAATATAAGATAAGGTTAATTGTCTAGTCAGGGGCCAAGCTAGAAAGAGTTCTGAAAGGTAGATAATAGAGTTTGAACTTTATCCTCTTTAGGCATGAGGAGCCATTGGTGGTTTTGATCAGGAAAATTATATGTATAATACTGTTTTAGGAAGAGGAATCTGGAAGAAATATATCAGATGATTTAGAACGGAACAAGGAAAAGGTAAAAGCAGATAGTTGAAGGACACTGAAATATGAAGAAAATAATTCAGTATTAACATAGCGTGTTACAGAGAACAGACAAGGTAACATTCCTGCACCCAGGTGGGAAGAAGAATGAGATAATCTAGAAAGGAGAAGCAGACCTGTGGACTGGATTCCTGGAAGATGCTCCTGATAAAGGAGTATAGGCCCCTCTTCCCTGGCCTGTCTGTGCACTAGGCCTCTAGCATGCTCAACTAGCCCCCTAGGGTCTGATCCCCCACCTGTAATTCATCCCAGCAGGACCAAGAAACGTCCCCTCAGGGCCAGCAATGGAGATGGGCTGTGATTCCCATGGCCCTCTTACTTTGAAACATGGCTCCACACCTTTCTGCTAATGCCAGTGACCCCTTTAACAGAGAAAAAATGACTTTTGTTCCTCATTTAAAGCTTAAAGGAAAATTCCTCTCTGAGGTAAAATTTCATTATGAATGTCATTCCTTCAGTGTAAGTGGCTGTTTTAAAGTCTTTTCTAATTTTGATTTGAAGCAAGGGAGAGATTTTAAAGAACTTGGGAATACTGCTACCAAAAGTTGTTGAAGATGCCTTCATGGAGACCTTAGGAGAGGATGCAGAAAGAAGTGACAGGAATAGAACACATACAGAGATCTTCTACCTTTGCTTGAAATTGATGCTGTTAACCATGAGGAGAAGAGATGAGGCAAGCTATGATCAGGGATTTTGGTCATATGTTTGCAAAGGCACTCATCTCTGCCTTATGTAACTCTGTTTATTTTTAGACAGTTTTGTTTTCTGGGCAAATTATCAGGTTCTTAGGGCATCTTTTAATGACACTCCATTAATTCTGTACTAGAAATTCTGTATAGATGGGGCTCCTGATTGTATTGAGAGCCCAAAGAATACATTTATCATCTTCTGTCTACAGCTTCGAAGTAACTATGCAATGAAAATAGCCCTTTTTAAAATTGTTTCTCTAGCTGAAATTTTATAGGAAGGAATTTCAAAAGAGTAGTTTATCAAAATAAAAATACAGTGTCCAATAACTTTATATTCTTTAAATTTTTTCATACAAGGAATCTTTAAAAATATAATCAAGTCTAATGACAAGGAAGAGGCCATTGTTTTGGAAATTCAATCTGATATATTACTTATATTATCTGGTCTTTGTGAAGATCATGTTCCCAGGAAGGTATGTATGCCTGTGAATCAAACTTTTGCTCAAATGTCCCAATCACCTAACACTATGAACTTTTTCTTAGTAAGTATCCATAAATGTCAGTGTTTTTTAATCTTGTGAAGATTTAATTTAATATTCTTTTTTTATAATTAGAGTATAATTATATACAGTAAAGTGTATACATCTTAAGTATGTAGTTCAGTAGGTTTTGATGAACATATATACCCATTTAACCAATACCTCAATTAAAATATAGAATATTGTTATCTCTCTATAAAATTCTCCCATGCCCTTTAGCAGCCATGCCCCCACTTGCCTCTAGGCAACCACTGCCTGATTTATATCCCCATAAGTTAGTTTGCCAATTCTTTAACTTTATATGAATGGAGTCACATAGTATTTACTCTCTCATATCTGGTTTCTGTCATACAGAATTATATTTCTGAAATATATGCATATTGTTACATGTATCAGTAGTTCATTCCTTTTTATTGCTGAATAGTATTTCATTGTATGAATATCCCAGAATTTGTTTCTCCATTCCCCTATGATAAACACTTAAGTTGTTTACATTTGGGACTATTATGTATAAAGCTTCAATGAACATTCTTGTAATAGTCTTTTTGTGGACATAGTGCTTTTGTTTCTCTTGAATAAATACCTAGGAGTGCAAGTGATGGGTCATAAAGTAGGTGTACACTTTGAAGAAACTGGCAAACAATTTTCCAAAGTGGGCTGTACCATTATAAATGCTGTTTGGGGTTTGAATTAGGTTCATATCTAAAACTAAACGTTAGAAGAGGAGCTTAATTCCCTTTGATCTTTTTAAATTCTATAGCAAACTCTGACTCTCAGAAAATGATAACTTAAATAGCAAGAGACAAAATTAGAAAGAAAAAAACAAAAAATTATGAACGTTTCAACAGAGGGATTTTAGGGAGAGGCAACAAGAACAGTAAATGCATACTTAGCTCCAAGCTTTGATGCAGCTTCTCCTTATATTCTGCCAACCTATGCCTGTGCTCTTCTGGAAAAATACTCATAGCCTTGCTTACTGGGAACCAGAACTGAACAACAAGGCAATGAGAAAGGTAATTGGTAAGGGACAAACATTAACTGGTAATAACGTCATATAAATGATTAAAGGTTTCATCTACATTTATATATTTATTTCTCCTTGGGAGCATTAGAAAATCTTCCATGGTAGAATTTTAGCCGCTTAAATTAGTTGTTGCTAGCTGGTATTCATCTGACGTGATGTTAGACTATACTCATTATAACAGGGAAGAAAATCATGGGACAAGTCTTATGGTTTATTTTTTTTAAAGATAAATAAAGGGAAAATATATATAAAAGGACATGAAGCTGGCATATTGATTGATGACCTCTCTTAAAATGATTAGCTTTACAATAATTTGTCTTAAATTCCTAAGAACAAGTGACTACAAATTTGAAAAAAAATTGTATTAAAAGTACTATTTTCCTAACAATGTTGTTGTATTTTTCTGGTAGAAAAAGTTTAGGGAACAGGATGAAATGAAAAAGGAAGTGATTATTTATTTCAATAAATAATTTTAAATAAATCTTTTAGGAAATTTTTGGAACTGAAGGAGTGGATATAATTCTTCATGTAATGAAAACAGACCCCAAGAAGTTACAGAGTGGATTAGGCTATAATGTACTTCTTTTTAGTACATTGGACAGCATTTGGTGAGTGTTACTCTACCCAAGTTAGATAGAATCACACTACAAGAAAATTACCTCTCTGTCAATTTTCTTCCCTCAAAACCGCACCAGAAAGATAACTGTCTCAATGCCTTTTTCTTTTCAGTAGTCCAGAAATGACATTTACCAGTCTCCTTTGGAAAGTAGTCTTGTCCATCACTCAAATATACAACCATTCTTGTATCTAAACTTAAGTCCTTGTTTTTTCGACTTGAACCCATTCCATTTTGGCCTGGTCTGGGAAAACACAAGCATCTACCATTACTCATACAGTATTCTTCATATAATTGAAGACTGTTGAATTCCTCATTCGTCTTCTCTTCAAGGAGTTGAAGACCAGTTGATTACGTGTTTCCTAATCAATATTGTTTCCCAAACTTTTTAGCCTTTCTAAGGGTAAAAAACATGCCTTTCTGAACATTAATTTATGAAATTTTGTCTTGGAGAAAATTATTTGAGTTTAATATATCATTAACCCTTGACACATTTCTTTTGTTCTATTTGGGTAGAATTCATGAGAGCCATACTGGAACACATTTATAAGAAAACTCTGATGATTATAGACCAAATGGACCTAACAGACATATAAGAACATTCCAACCAATAGCAGAAGGATACATGTTGTGTTCAAGTGCTGTGATAATGTGGTTTATAATAAGAAATGTATATTTAGTCCATTCCTATTACAGAGCTCCTAAAATTCTTGTAATTTCCTAATAAGTAAGAGCAATGGGAATAGCTATAATATTTTATCTTTTATTCTCACTTCCTATAATAGCTCCAGAACAATAAAGATGAAAGTAGTGTCTTTGTTATCCATAAGAAGCCTCTTTCAACCACATTTGAGTTTATGTTAATGAGGTGATTTTTGGAAAGTCCCTAGATAACCACAGGATGGGGGGCAGGTTGCCAGGGGAACCAACCATATGATGGATTAGAGAGTTGGAAATTTCACCCCCACCCTCAACCTCTGGGGTGAGGGGAAGAGAGGCTGGAGATGGAGTTTAATCACCAATGGCCAATGATTTAATCAGTCATCCTTACATAATGAAGCCTCTTTAAAAATTCTAAACTAGGAGATCAAGAGAGCTTCCAGTTTGGAGAATACATGGAGGTGCTGAGAGAGGGCATGGTTTTATGCCCCTTCCCTGTCTTGTGCATCTCCTCCATGTGGCTGTTCTGAAGCTGTATGCTTTTTACAATAAACCAGTAATCTAGTAAATAAACTGGTTTCCTGAGTTCTGTGAGCCACACTAACAAATTTTCCATCCTGAGGAGGGGTGGAATCTCTGATTTATAGCTATTTGATCAGAAGCACAGGTGACAACCTGGACTGGAGTCTAAGGTAGGAGGAGGGAAGCAGTGCATTCTTATGAGACTGAGCCCTTAACCTGTGAGATCCAATGCTAACTCCAGGTAGATAGTGTGAGAATTGAATTGAATTGAATTGAATTGTAGGACACCCATTTGGTGTCCACAGAGAACTGGAGAATTGGTTGGTGTGGGGAATACCAGACATTTGGTGGTACAAGTGAAGTGTTGAGAGTAGAGTGTTGAGAGGAAATACAGAGTTTTTTTACAAGCACTCATGGAACATTTTCTAGGATAGATCACATTCAGTGTCGCACCTTTAACAAATTTAAGAAGATGGAAATCATTCCAGAAATCTTTTCTGACCACAATGGAATAAAACTAGAAATCAATAACAAAAGAAAATCAGGAAAACTCACAAATCCATGGAAATTAAACAATACACTCTTGAACAACCAATGGGTCAAAGACAAAAACAAAAGGGAAATTAGAAAATTTCTCAAGACAAACGAAAATGAAAACACAACAATCCGAAACTTATGTGATATACCAAAAATACCGAGAGGGAAGTTTATAGTGATAAATGCCTACATTAAAAAAGAAGAAAGACAACCTAACTTTACACCCACAAGGAACTAGAAAACGAAGAACAAACTAAGCCCAAAGTAGCAGAAGAAAAGTAATAATAAAGAAAGATTAGAGCAGCTGAATAAAATAGAGAATAGAAAAACATCAACAGAACTAAGAGTTGGTTTTTTGAAAAGATAACAAAATCAACAATCTTTAGCTAGACTAAGAAAAAAGGGAGAATAATCGAATAAAATCATAAACAGAAGACATCATAACAGATACAACAAAAATTTTTTTAAAAGATCATAAGGGACTTATGAACAACTATATGCCAACACACTGGACAACATAGAAGAAAGGGATAAATTCCTAGAAACATACAACCTACCAAGACTGAATCAAGAAGAAATAGAAAGCCCAAACAGACCAATAACAATAAAGAGATTGAATCCATAATCAAAAACCTTCCAACAAAAAAAGCCCAGGACCTGATGGCTTCACAGGTGAATTTTACCAAACACTTAGAATTAATAGGAATCCTTCTTAAACTCTTCCAAAAAATAGAAGAGGGAACACTTCCAAATTCATTTTATTACAACAGAATCACCATGATACTGAAGCCAGACAAAAAACACCGTAAGAAAGAAAATTACAGACTAATATCCCTGATGAACATGGATGCAAAAATCCTCTAGAAAATATTAGCAAGCCAAATTCAACAGCACCTTAAAAGGTTCATGCACCATAACCAAGTGGGATTTATCCCTGGGGATGCAAGAATGTTTCAATATTTACAAATCAATCAGTGTGATACACCACTTAATGGAATGAGGGACAAAAATTACATAAACATCTTAATATGAGCATTTGAAAAAATTCAACATCCTTTCATGATAAAAACTCAACAAATTAGGTAGAGAAGGAACTTACTTCAAGACAATAAAGGCCATATATGAAAAGCCCACAGCTAACATCACACTCAATGGTGAAAAGCTGAAAGCTTTTCCTCTAAGACCTGTAGTAAGGCAAAGATGCCCACTCTCACCACTTCTATTCAACATAATACTCTAAGTCCTGGCATAAAAGGCGTCCCAGTCAGAAGGGAAGAAGTAAAATTATGTTTGCAGATGACATGATCTTACATGTAGAAAACCCTAAAGACTCCACCAAAAAAACTGTTAGAACCAATAAATGAATTCAGTAAAGTTGTGGGATACAGTCAACATACAAAAATCAGTTGCATTTCTGTACACCAATAATAAACTATCCAAAAAGGAAATCAAGAAACAATCACATTTGCAATAGTACCAAAAAGAATAGAATACTAAGAAATGAACATAACCAAGGAGGTAAAAGACTTGTATACTGGAAACTATAAAACACTCATGAAAGAAATTAAAGCAGAAACAAATAAATGGAAAGACTTCTCATGTTCACGTATTGGAAGAATTAATATTGTTTAAATGTTAATACTACCCAACGTGACCTACAGATTCACAGTAATCCCTATAAAAATCCTGAAGATATTTTTTACAGAAATAGAAAACACAATCCTGAAACTTATATGGAACCACTAATCATCAGGGAAATGCAAATCAAAACTACAATGAGATATCACCTCATACCTGTCAGGATGGTTACTATCAAAAAAACAAGAGGTTACAAGTGTTGGTGAGGATGTGGAGAAAACGGAACGCTTTTACATTGCTAGTGGGAATGTAAAATGGTGCAGCCACTATGGAAAATAGTGTGGAGGTTCCTCAAAAACTTAAAAATAAAGCTACCATATGATCCAGCAATTCCACTTCTGGGCTTATATCCCAAAGAATTGAAATCAGGATCTTGAAGAGATAGATGCACTCCGATATTCACTGCAGCATTATTCACAATAGCCAAGATATGGAAACAACCCAAATGTCCATCAACAGATGAATGGATAAAGAAAATGTGGTGTATACATACAATGGAATATCATCCAGCCTTTAAAAAGAAGGAAATCCTACCATTTGCAACAACATGGATGGACCTGGAAGACATTATGCTAAGTGAAATAAGTAATTGACAGAAGAATATCTCATACATGATTTCTCTAAAATAGTCAAAACTATAGAAGCAGACAATGGTATGTAGACATTAGAACGATGGGGAAGGGAGGATACGAAGAGTTGTTGTTCAATGGGTATAATGTTACAGTTATACAAGATTAGTTAATTCCAGAGATCTATGCAATATAGTGCTTGTAGTTAACAATAAGGTATTGAGTACTTAAAAATTTGTTAAGTGGGTGGATCTCATCTTAAGTGTGCTTAGTACAAAAACAAATTAAAAAACACAAAGGGGCGCAGGAAACTTTTAGAGGTGATGGACATTTTTATTACCTGGATTGTGGTAATACTAACACAAGTTATACATATGTCCAAATTCCCCAAATTGTACATTAATTATATGCTGATTTTTTTATTCTAATTATACCTCAATAAAGTTGGGGGGGAAACTGTTGAATGTTACTTTGCATAAGATCAAGTAACTAGTTTTACAACTAGTTGTAAAATTCTAGAAGCAAATTCACTGTTTTTATGGAGAGCCAGACTATTCAGCTCTCCTCCAGATGCACATACGCAGCAGGGCTAATCAGCTACCTAGTTTGTTTGTTACTGTAGAGAAGAGAGGGATTTAGTGATAATATGATAACCTATCATAAGTTTCAACAGCAAATTGTTATTGACTAGAACACTGCATTAAGCACAGTAAAAAACTCAGAGATGAGTATTGATGAATACCACCCTTACTATCTACCAGTATATTGGGAGTCAGAGGTCACTGCAGAAAATGTCTTGATGTTTTATCCCTTCTTTATTTAATATTCCACAGTTATACTAAGATAAAAATTAATAAATAAATGGTTTTATTTATCTGTGTCTTTTACTATAACGAAACTTGAAATCCCTTTGGATATGAAATAAGGTAGAAATAACAAATAATGAATAAATGCAGTGTTTAATTGGTGATGCCAGGCATCCATTCTTTTTTTTATATATTATTGAGTTAATGATAGGTTACAATCTTGTGAAATTTCAGTTGTACACTATTGTCTGTCAGTCGTGTTGTAGGTGCACCACTTCACCCTTTGTTCCCACCCCCCACCCCCCCTTTCCCCTGGTAGCCACTAATCTCTTCTCTTTGTCCACATGTTTAACTTCCTCATATGAGTGGAGTCATACAGAGATTGTCCTTCTCTATCTGGCTTATTTCACTTAACATAATTCCCTCAAGGTCCATCCATGTTGTTGCAAATGGGACGATTTTGTTCTTTTGTATGGCTGAGTAGTAGTCCATTGTATATATATATACCACATCTTCTTTATCCAATCATCTGTTGATGGGCACTTAGGTTGCTTCCATGTCTTGGCTATTGTAAGTAATGCTGCAATGAACATAGAGGTGCATGGGACTTTTGGAATTGCTGATTTCAGGTTCTTTGGATAGATACCCAGTAGTGGGATAGCTGGATCGTATGGTAGTTCTATTTTTAATTTTTTGAGGAATCTCTATACTGTTTTCCATAGTGGCTGCACGAGTTTGCATTCCCACCAGCGCTGTATGAGGGTTCCTTTTTCTCCACAACCTCTCCAACATTTGTTACTATTAGATTTAGATATTTTTGTCATTCTAATTGGTGTAAGGTGATATCTTAGTGTAGTTTTGATTTGCATTTCCCTGATGCACAGCGATGATGAACATCTTTTCATGTGCCTATTGGCCATCTGTATATCTTCTTTGGAGAAATGTCTGTTCGTGTCTCCTGCCCATTTTTTGATCAGGTTGTTTGATTTTTTGTTGTTGAGTTGTGTGAGTTCTTTATATATTATGGATATTAAGCCTTTGTCAGATGTATTACTTGCAAATATTTTTTCCCAGTTAGTGGGTTGTTTTTTTGTTTCAATCCTGTCTTCCTTTGCCTTGAAGAAGCTCTTTAGTCTGATGAAGTCCCATTTGTTTATTCTTTCTATTGTTTCCCTTCTCTGAGAAGACATGGTGTCCGAAAAGATCCCTTTAATACTGATGTCAAAGAGTGTACTGCCTACATTTTCTTCTAGAAGACTTATGGTTTTAGGTCTCAGCTTTAGGTCTTTGATCCATTTTGAGTTTATTTTGGTGAATGGTGAAAAAGAATGGTCAATTTTCATTCTTTTACATGTGGCTTTCCAGTTTTCTCAGCACCATTTGTAGAAAAGACTTTCTTTTTTCCATTGTATGCCCTCAGGTCCTTTGTCAAAGATAAGCTGTCCATAGATGTGTTGTTTTATTTCTGGGCTTTCAATTCTGTTCCATTGATCTGTGCACCTGTTTTTGTACCAGTACCATGCTCTTTTGATTACTGTAGGTTTGTAGTATGTTTTCAAGTCAGGGATTGTGATGCCAGGCATCTATTCTTTTTCCTTTTTTAGGAACTTAAACTGAAGGAAGTTCTAGTATCTAGTTTATGTTGACCTCGTAAAACAAGTTAGGAAGTATTCCTTCTTTCTATGTTCTCTAGAAAGAATTTGTATAAGATTTTTTATATCTTTCTTACATAATTAGTGGAATTCACCAATTAAGTCATCTGTGCCTGGAGTTTACTTTGTAGAAAGGTTCTGAAATATAGATTTCATTTCTTTAGTATATATACATGTCTATTAAGATTTTCTACTTCTTGTGTAGGTTCTGATAAGATGTATTTTTCTAGGAACTCATTTGTTTTGTCTAAATTTTCAAACTTACTGTTATACAGTTGTTTGTATCTTTAATATCTGTAGGATATAAAGTGAGGCTTTCTTTTTCTTTCCTGGTCTTAGTCATTTCTGCCTTCTCTCTCTCTCTCTCTTTTTCCCTTAATGGCTTTCACAAGGAATTAATCAATATTATTAGTCTTTTCAAAGAATCCATTTGTGTGCTTTATTGATTCTATTTTATTTTATATTTCATTAATTTGGTTTTTTTTCTTTTGCTTAATTTTACCTTTTCTATTTCTTGAGATGGATGCCAGGATCAAAGATTTTCAACCTTTCTTTTCCTCTAATATAGTTATCTAAGGCTATAAATTCTCCTCTAATCACAGGTTTAGCTACAGCTCATAAGTTTCAATATGTTCTATTAATATTAGTTAATATTATCATTAAATTCAAATTATTTTCTAGTGTTCATTGTGATTTTCTTTTTGACCTTTGGGAGATTTAGAAATATCTTGTCTAATTTCTGAACAAGTTAGGATTTCTATTTTTTGTTACTGAAATTGCTATGGATTAAAGAGGTAAAAGGCAGCTCATGGTAGGCATCAGAGTACTACCTCAAAAGTGGGAATAGAATAAACCTGATTCATACCCAGAGGTGGTAAAACTGGAACCAGCTGAGTGGAAGGGGCCAAGCTGATGGCCTTTATGCACCAACCACCACCACCCCCACTACACACAACCATCATCACAAAACAGGCAGCAGAAACAAGAGAAAGCCAGGTTAAATAATTACCATATTATTACTGAACCATAAATAATTAAGTAATAGCCATGCTAAATAGGAAAGGGACATAGGAAGTTGACCCCAGCAGGCTTGCAGTGCCTGAAAGAAATAGAGGAGATTAGCCTCTGTTAGTATTTAGCACCAGCAGCAGCAGCAGCAGCAGCAATGTATTCAGCCCATATCCATCCCTTACCCAGGAAAACAGTGAAAGTAGCCCTGGTAGCAACTTCAATCGCTCACTCCATGTGGGCTGCGCAGTCCTAAGCAGCAGGCACGTTAGCAAATAACTCAACTGCAAAGATAGCATGTAATTAAAAATCATCAAATGTTTGAGGCACGCCAACACTGAAAGAGAGACAATAAATGGATAAAGCTTGAAGAAACAGTTACTAGAGCAACGAGAGGAAAGATCTCCTCTACAAATAATGTCATGAAAGCCAAGGAGAATATTGCATCTATGGAAAAGAAATAGGCAGTTATGAAAACGAATTAATTGATATTATCAGGTTTAAAAATAGTTGAAATAAAACGCCACTGGCAAAGTCTCTTCAAAGTTCAATTTTTTAAGTAAAAAAATTAACTACTTGATTTAAGGGAATGAAGGAAAACATATTCTTTGAAAATTTTTTTGATAGAAATAAACTCACGAGTTTAACAATAAACCCTTATTAAATGACTGACTAACTTTTTATTTAAAGGTGCTGCATTTTGGGATGCTATCCTTTAGAGGATTACTTTCTTGAAAAGGAAGGCATTTTTCTCCTTTTGGATTTATTGGCAGTAAGTATCATCATAACAACTGTAAAACAAAAAATAAATATGTCTTTATTAACCCTTTCCAAACTCAGTACCACAGAAGACTATTCTGTGATTAAATGTGCCCCCCAAATCGTGTTCAAATATTTATTTTACAAAAATCCCTCCTGGAGATTCATAATATGCATTGGCATATTAAAGACGCTGAAAATTCCTCCAGTGAAGAAATTCATTTACTGAGGTCAGTGCTCCCAAACACATGACAACAGAGAATTGGTTTTACAGGGGTTTTTTTTCCCACCAACTTTTCAATAAACAGCTTGCAAAGTGCTAGACTATATCACTTACTAATAACTTCTAGCTTCCTCTCTTAGTATTAAAAGATAAGGGCCACATCAGACAAAGGAGTAAAGATGAGCACTTTTTAAGAACTGCGTATAGTTTAAGGTAAAGTGAAGAATCTAGTGTGTCATGGACAGTTTTACAGAACAAGCAGGAGTGAGCACACTAAGCCTTCCAGGAAAGACAGTTGCCATCTAGCAACTGTGAAGAATGGCAAAGACCCTCACTTATCCCCAAAGTAACCCCCTAGTAGCCTCAATTCTAAGTGGGTCCATAGTCAAGATGATATGGGAGGAAAAGTATAATTTTGTTTCAGTAAAACTTTGGGAGAGGGGGCCGGCCCAGTGGCATAGTGGTTAAGTTCGCACGCTCCACTGCTGCAGCCTGGAGTTCGCCAGTTCAGATCCTGGGTGCGGACCTACACACCACTCATCAGGCAATGCTGTGGCAGCATCCCACATAGAAGAACCAGAATGACGTAGAACTAGGGGAGGGAAACAAAAAAGAGGAAGATTGGCAACAGATGTTAGCTCAGGGCCAATCTTCCTCACACACACACAAAAAAAATTGTAAACTTATAAAAAAGAAAAACTTTGGGAGATATTCTCACACAAAGTTCTAGATATATCACTTCCTGTGATTGCCCCATTGTTGATTTTATTAACAGAATAATAAACCTACCTTTATGCAGCAAGGGTACTAAAGTTGTGTGTATCTTTTCATCTCTCTGAAAGAAAAGTAGTTGAAACTAGAGATCACAGAGCAAAATCATTGGATATAAAACACTATCAACGAAAAATAAGTAAATAATAATAGTAAAAATAACCCATCTTGAGGGGCCAGTCTGGTGGCATAGTGGTTAAGCTTGCATTGTCCACTTCAGCACTCCAGGGTTGACAGGTTGGAATCCTGGGCATGGACCTAGCACCACTCATCAAGCCACGCTGTGGCAGTATCCCACATACAAAATAGAGGAAGATTGACACAGATGTTAACTCAGCAACAATCTTCCTCAAGCAAAAAGAGGAAGATTGGCAACAGATGTTAGCTCAGGGCCAACCTTCCTCACCAAATAAGTAAATAAATAAAATAACCCTCATTGATAAATAGGAATGAGTCATAACCAGAAACCCTTGGAAAGTTCAGAAAATTGAACATAATACAGAAGGATGTAAGTGTAGCTCTATTAACGTAGTCCTAAGTTATGTATAGCTCACCGTGTTTCTCTGAGTAGAGTACAAGCATGCCCAGAGGCATGATGTGTCAGAGGTTCTCAAAGTCACAAAATCAATTTGGCACATCTTCCTGGAATCTAGCTTTTACTAGAGATTTGGAAGTAAGGAGTTATATAAAACATACTGTACATACTTAATAATTAAATTTTATATTAATATTTAAGATTATATAGAAGACTTTAAAGACATTTCTCACGTGTGTTCACTCTCCTCCATTAGGGTTTCTTTGATGGAAAGGCATGAAGACTGGTAGGAGCAGCTGATAGCACGGTGGTTGTGAGCATAGGCTGGAATCAGTCTGACTGAGGCCTCCAATACTTGTTAGCTGTGTAACTTGGACAAGTTATTTAACATCTCTGTTATCAATTTCTCCATCTGTAAAAAAGAGATAACAATAGTATCTAGTTTATGCACTGTTGGGAGGCTTATATAAGTGATTGTGTGTGTGCATGCACACGTGCACATGCAGATATATACACACATACACTTACAGGCATTAGTTAGAATAGTTCCTGACAAATATTTTTGCTATGTGTTTTATATTATTATGAATATAATTATTAGGTTGTGCTTAATGTGGATTGAACCAATCAAGTTAATTACAAATTCCAAATATTCTTTAATGAAGTTTTTGTATCAACTTCAACCCTTGACATTTGCCTCTTTCTCTTGAAAGTGAAGTATAGGAATAAAAAGCAGTTGATTGAGGGTTCTGCTTAATACAATCTGCTAAAATATTTATTCAGTGCACAATGATAACAATTGCTAATAATAGTTCAATGTTATTGAGAACGTACCATCTGACAGGCAGCCTTATGTAACTCACTGTGCCTCTGTAAAGCAGGAAATATTATCCTTCATTTAACAAAGAGGAAACTGATAATGTCTGCAATTCAAACCTCAGGTTACATGTTTCCTTTGCTATATTCTATTAGCAGCATACTCTAACTGTTAATCAACAAAAAATATTTCACACAGAAACCATTACTGTCTGGAGGCCATTGCTCTGGATGGGCTTTTACATCCCTAAATTTTAGTTTGCTGAAAACTAGTTGGGCAAAACAAAGGAAATATGCTTGATAAGATGCCGATTATCAAAATACAAAATTACACCATTTTGATTTATTTTCATACATGACTGCCACTGGCAGTTACCATCAGTTGTTTTCTTACTAGCAATGAGGTTATAGCTGGTATAAGTCTTTACAAACCTTAATAAAACATGTAAATTGGAAAGATCCTATAACTACAGTGACCTATGTATAGCACTGTTGACCTTGCTCCACTTAAAATGAGCATCACTTATTTTTACAATCTCCCTTTTTCCTACTCAACCAAATCAACTACAGTTTTGGTCATGACATATGTTTATGACTACATCAGAATTTTATTGAATATTTTTATTTTTATCCTTTTTCATTCCTGATGTTTGAAAATGTACTCATTACAATGGGTATCTTTTAACAGGAGATTGTCACAAATCATACTTAGAGTCTGAGTTTTATAAGACTATCATTTAGAAGAAACCTACTGATTAATACAAATGTTTCTCCTTTTTTTTTAAGGCAGTAATTCTTAATATTTCTTGCAACTTTTTTCTTTATTGTTTCCTTGCATAAGTTGAACCAAAAAAAATTCTGTAATCTAATACTGGGAATAATGGTTGAATTTTGTGATAATCCCAAAACTACGGCTCATGTTAATGCTTGGCGAGGGAAGAAAGGCCAGACAGCTGCTAGTCTTTTAATTAAATTGTGGAGAAAGGAAGAAGAAGAACTAGGAGTGAAACGTGATAAACATGGGAAGATCATTGGTAAGTGTGTTTATAATTGTTAATAGAAGCAATTAGATGCATATTTTTTAAAAGAAATCTGTAATAGATATTAGGAAAGTATGAGGATTTTCACCCCTTTGTTTAAAGTTCTTTTCACAGAGTTTTCAGAACTTGCTATCATAAATTCTGAGTGATTGGAAGAAAACTAAGTAAATTAGTAGCAGGTTTATATTTTTATAGGCTACTTTAAGGAAATGGTATTTGATTATGTTATTTTATTTATTTATTTTTTTTTTGAGGAAGATTAGCCCTGAGCTAACTACTGCCAATCCTCCTCTTTTTGCTGAGGGAGACTGGCTCCGAGGTAACGTCCGTGCCCATCTTCCTCTACTTTATACGTGGGACGCCTACCACAGCATGGCTTGCCAAGCAGTGCCATGTCCGCACCCGGGATCCAAACCAGTGAACCCTGGGCCGCCAAAGCAGAACGTGCGAACTTGACCGCTGTGCCACTGGGCCGGCCCCTGGTTAGAGTCTTTAACTCGAAAAAAACTAACAGTACTTCCTAAAGAAATTTCTTTGGGTTATCTGCTTTTACAAATAGATTCAGTAGTATTTCTTATCCAATAAAATTTGAGATTTAAACAGAATGCTTGAAAACAATTTTAATAGTATGTTGTATATTTCTATTGATTCATATGTATACAATTTACTTTTTATATGAAATAAGAAACTCTTCTAAATAAAATAAATCAAATGTTCATAAATTTTAATTACTATATTCTAAATTAATGAAGTTTACAGTATCAGAATTTATAGTTCATTTATCTATTCTACAATGCTACATTACGTTTTCTAAACCTCTTAAGATTCTTATTATGGCTTCATCTAAACTGTTAGTATTGTTTATTTTTAAATGAAAATATTTCTTCTTTAACTTCTGACAGTGTCTATCTTCAGTCTGTCTTTATGTCTGAGTTTTGATCTATAATATCATAAAATAGTTTTTATATTTATAGCATAATATATAGAAACCCAAAGCAAAGATTATATCATTGTTAAACTGACATTGTTCAATTTCTGGATCTCAAAATTAGAAAAGTTATTTATATAAAAGTTTCACTTTTAGAAAAGTAATTTTGTGAAATTTTCATATTTTACATAAGTAATAAAAATGAAAGCTTTAAGTTTTGCCACAGAATGGGGAAGAAATTACTGGTTACATTTGCTTTCAAAAGACTGACCATGTACAAGGCACTATTTTACTCTATTATAATATTTTTATATATTTTATGATGTCTAGACTAAAAATCTCAAAATTAAATTATTAATTTACTATGGTTGTTATCTGTCCCTTCCATGTATTTTCATGATATCCAATGATTAGATACAAAGAAACCTCTATTTACTAGTTTTCAAGAAGAGCAGAAAATTATACCACTGCCTGCTAACTGCCCGACTATTGCAGTTATGGATGTTGCGGAGAATATCAGAGCAAAAATTTATGCTGTGTTGGGCAAACTAGGTAAGAAGCTACTCATCAAATTCCCTGAGCCTCTCTATTTTGTTGAATGTGTGAGTTGATTTTGCTCTGGAGTCCATTTTTCAAACATGATGAACAGAAGTCCCTTTATACAGATAAAGGCATGTTCCATTATTATCCCAAATGCCCAGGCTATACCCTTGATCAGTTAAATTGGAATCTCCAGGTGTGGGGTTCAGCCATCAGTATTTTTTAAAGCTCCACAGGCAATTCCAGTGTGCAGCCAGGATTCAAAGCAGTTAGTTTAGATGAGTAGGCTTAAACACTACAATTCTGAATCACCAGAGTGTTTTAAAATACTTGCTTCTTAATAAGGAAAAAGTCCTCACTCTTCAGATTCTGAAAGTACAATATCATAGTCTGACAATACCATGAAAGTGCTCCTCTTCTGATGACTAGATAAGGATGACCTGGCAGAGGTTTGTTATAGGAGGAAGCCAAAAGCTCACAGAAGTAACTTTTTATAAATCATGATGAAATCAAAAGTAACTTTTTGCATTTGTTTTTATGATAGATGTATGCCTTTTGGAATCGGTTCCTCTGTTAAAGTAATTCTCTCTCTATAAACTTTGTTTAGATTTTGAAAATTTACCTGGCCTATCAGCTGAAGATTTTGTGACCCTCTGTATCATACATAGATATCTTGATTTTAAAGTGAGTACCTTCTTAACCTTGATATAAAATCTAGTATGGCAAAAAATCAACTGCAAAATAAAAGATCTATTTGTAATTGTGAACTGTCATAGACATACTGTGTAATTTTTATCTTACATTTTGCATCTGATACTGTTCCAGAAACATACAATTAATTGACTGGGTATTTTCCATGGGATAAGATTTCATCCAACTATTAGTTTGTAAAAGAAAATGGATGTTACTGTCATAGAACTGTTCAGAAGCCTAACAGAACTTTTCAAATATTATCTCTTCTACTAATATTAGTACTATGTATTTGAATGTTATAAATGAGTAAACATCTATTTTCAAATGAAAACAAGGCTGAATTTTATCCCTATCCTGGATATATAAACTTTTCTCTAAATTTAAACATACTCTAGCATGTTAATTTCCAGACAACCCAGAACGTGAGGTGGAGCTATCAGCATGATGAAACTGTGGAGTTAAGACCTTGAGCTTCAATCATTGCCTTAGCTAGAAGGTGAGGGGCAGGGCCCTACTTCTCAGGGTGACTAGGTTCTAGGGTCCCTGGAATCCCTGTGTTTATCGTCCTCCAAATTCAGCTTGATCTAGCCTTCAGTACAGGGCTTTAGGAGGATGAGACTAAAGCAGCAGTTTCTGCAGCTCTGAAAACAGAGTGACTTAAAGCAGAGGGCAGTGATGATGGCAATGAATTAGACTTAGGTAGTGGAGGCACATCCATGAATACCTTATCATTGAAAACATTTGATAAATTACTTCTGAATACTCATTTGTAAATGGTGCCCCAAATCATTCCCAATGCATTTAACTTATTCCCAAAGAGTAAGTTAGGAGAAGCTGGTTCAGTAAGTGTTAACTTTGGAATGGCCACCAAGAATTACTTAAAATTATGTCATTTATTTTTGGTTCATTTAACTTTTTTAAACTTAAACTTTGTTATAACAGATTGGAGAAATATGGAATGAAATATATGAAGAAATAAAATTAGAAAAGTTAAGACCAGTCACTACAGATAAAAAAATTTTGGAAACTATTACAACAGCATCAGAAAATATTGGAAAGATGGTTGCTTCTCTGCAAAGTGAGATGATTGAAAGCCAGGCGCGCCAAGATGTGCAAAATGAACAAAAAGTCTATGCAAAAGTAAGCCACAGATACCATTGAGGCACAAGATAATAATTTCAATGTATAAACTAGTTGAAGTTATCAATAGGATATATTTGCCTTACTTGTGAATGTTTCAGCACTTAGAGTTATTTTTTAGTTTAGTTTTTTTCTTGAAGACTGACGCCTGAGCTAACATCTGTTGCCAATCTTCTTTTTTTTCCTTCTTCATCTCCCCAGAGCCCCCAAGTACATAGTTGTATATTCTAGTTGTAGGTCCTTCTGGTTGTGTGTAGTTTTCTCTATAGTTACCTTCAGTGTCTTTGTACAAGTTTTTAAAGAAACCATGGAGTTAAGAGCTTGAGATTCAATTACTATAGTCAGTAGTCAGTGCTGTTTTAGGGCATTATAATTTGATTTCTACAGGCTTAGAGTTTAAAAAGTAGACACCTGAGACACTTCCATTTTGAAATGTCAGAGTTCCAAAAACTGTGGTCTATTTAAATGTATACATTTAGCAAATTCTGACAAACAGTGTATCTCTGTGACTATATGTATGACCTCATTGAGGAAGTTGGCCCTCATCCCTCACTCTGTGACAGGCCCTTATTGATATGCCAACTTTAGGCACAGTGATAAGCTTTATCCCCACCTCAGTGCCAAAACACTTAGCATGAGCATTCCATAAATCCAGAGATAAACTGGTTTCTAACTGGAAGTAATCAGAAAAAGCCCATCAGGAAAATATAAGCCATTTTCCTAAAACTTTACATAGGTGGGAAACTGAACACATCAGAAGTTTTTGAGCAAATAGATTAATATTTAAATTAACTTGTCCACAGTTACAAAGATGATGTAGATTTCCCACTTCTGCTTGGTGATCCTTTATGACTACAATTAAATATTCAAAACTCTTTAAAGTAATTTCCAAAGTTTTCTATTGCCTGTTCTTTTCACATGGACTATTAAATATTTATAGCTTCAGCTTAGTGGGACTCTGTGTCCACCTGTGAATTCTGCTCCATCTTAGACACCTCCTTGCTTGAAAGTTTTGTTTGTTAAGAGTTTTTGTTGCATGGATGCTGCCATTTAATCCACTTAGTTGCTCTTAAGTGGGGTAGCCCTATTGGAAGTTCTGCTGCCTCATGAGTTCTGTTGAACGGGGGAATGTCTGCTGGGTGGACAAGCTGTTGTTGATTTGTTGGTTATTGTTGATTTGTTATCATGGCGCTGACCCGACTTACTTTTTAGCAGTGTAATTAAATACTCTTAGGTTCATAATTTAAACTTAATGGTATATTATACATCAACCAAGGGCATGTGTTCTTTGATGATATAATTAGTGGATAGCCTGATGGAAACTGTAGTCCCTGCAGTTTGTTAGTAGTTACCTCCTTAGACTGTATCACCACCGCAAACTCAGCACTCTCACAAAATGGCCTGTCTTGCTGCAGCCATAAATTAGAAGTAGTTTTACCAATATAATCTTGCCTAAACTATTATCAGTGGCAGCAGGAATCTCTTTCTTTTCTCCTGTGAATTTGCTGTTGGGTGATTTATATAGCTTGTTCTGGACTATAATCTGTCTTCACAAGTATTAAGCATGTAAAACAATCAGTCTTGCTGACAATGATTATTGTTATCTTTATATTTTATATTTTTATAACAACAGCTTTGCATTACATTTCATGGAAAGCAGTTCAAACCTTAGCCACATAGTGAGGGAAGGATTTATTTTTTTCATTTTAAGATTTTTGGTTTTTAAATTGTTGAACTCTACAAATACTCGGGGGAAGGATTTATTTTTTTCATTTTAAGATTTTTGGTTTTTAAATTGTTGAACTCTACAAATACTCTAATCCTTTTGCTAGTTGACTTTAAAACTTACCTTTGCAAAACCAGGTCTTCCTTCAAAATGAGGGCTTTCAAGACCTTTGGTATCCTTTCAGAGAAACTGGAACTTTTAATTATTTTTCTCATTTCAGATACAAGCCACCCACAAGCAAAGAGAACTGGCTAATAAATCATGGCAAAATTTCTTAGCTAGAACATCAAATGCTAAAACTTTAAAGGTAGGACTTTTTTTTTTTGGTATATTACTTTATTAATGTTTTAAAGTTGTGGTAAAATATATGTAACATAATATTTGCCATTTTGATCATTTTTAAGTAAACAATCCAGTGGCATTAAGTACATTCACAATGTGGTACAAACATCACCGATACCTATTTCTGGAGCATCTTCATCATTCTAAACAGAAATTCTATAACCAGTATGCAATAACTTCCCATTCTCCCTCCTCCTTGCCTCTGGTAATCTCTAATCCACTTTCTCTCTCTCTGAATTTGTTTATTCTAGATATTTCATGTAAGTGTAATCATACAGTATTTGTCCTTTTCTATCTGGCTTATTTCATTGAGTACAGTGTTTTCAAGATTCATTCATGTTATAGCATTCCTTTTTTTATGGCTGAGTAACCCATGGTTTGTATGACCACATTTTATTCATCGATTCATCTGTTGATAGACACTTGGGTTATTTGCACCTTTGGCTATTGTGAATAACGCTGCAATGAATATTGGCATACAAGTGTCTGTTTAAATTCCCTGCCTTCAATTCTAAAGATAGGACTTTTAAAATATTGTGATATCCACAACAAATAGCCAGCTCTAACAGGCAGACTTTCAGGAATAAATTTTCATTCGCCCTTTTCTGTTGATCTTTCTATAGAATGCCAACACTCTTAGATCCTCATATGCAATTTAGGATGATAACTGAAACTATGCATTTTCATAGTTACAGAAGATGCCGCTCTTGAGTTTCATTTAGTTTAGCAGTGAGAAGCAAGCGTGGTGTTCCTGGCTTGCATAAAGAAGATTATGGGTAGCCAGGAAGGAGCAGAAGAAATGTGCTCCTACTTTCCATTCTGAGCCTTTTTATTCATTGATCTTTTCTGTAATAAGTAGAGTGAGGGACAGAAAAAACAACTATCCATATTACCCTTTCCCCCAAGGTTGTTTCCCCTCCATGACCACGAAAAGAAACATTATATTAAAGCGTAAATGGGAATTTGGGACAAACACCCCCTTGGAAAAATGTGATAAGCTGCTGCAGCTGTAAGCTAGAAAGTACTCTAAAAAGTTTATAATGCTAATTGTTCACTTGAAATATATGAGAAGCACCATGGATTTCCAAAATCTCATTACTTTTTTCCAACTTTTCTGTTAATACTTTAGATACACTTTTACATAATGTTACAGTTCTTCCTCTAGATATGAAATTGTTAAATTTTATGTTAGCCCATGAAAATAGTGGAACTATATTAATATAGCAAAAGCAAAGCAAAACCAAGCTTATTCAAGGTACTGTGTCTCCCCCTTCTCACTAAAAGTTCTTCCCAACTTTATCTACAACATATGCTCATATGCTCATATCTGTACTTCTAAGGAATAGTTAATGAAAATCAGCCTCTTCTGTGCAGATCATTTGTTACCTCAAATTTTACCTGTTCTAGTGTCTCAACTATTGAGCTTGAATATAACTGCAGCAAATTATACAATTTATATTATTCTGAATGTTTGAAACATTTAAGTGTACTGAATTAGTATTTAATTTATGCAATGTATTTTGAAAATGTGCATCACCTGATGTAAATTTAGTAGTTTATTAAATTATGTGCTAAAAATTGAACCTGATCTCCTTAGGATCTGCTTTATTCCTTAGTCATATATGAACCATACCTCTGGAAATCTCAGTAATGTTGTCAGATGCCTGGTGGCTTCTGCAATGTATAAAAGATATAACTTGCTAATAACTATCTTCTTAGCCTAAATGAGTATGTAAATGCAGGTTCCGCGCTACCTAATAAACAAAGTATAAGCCAGATACAATTAAATGTACTTTGTATATTTCACTTTAAGTACCATAGATAATGCTTTAATAGCAATTAATATTATTTTCTTTCTAATTGATAAATCCTCAGAAAGCAAAAAGACTTCAGGAAAAAGCTATAGAATCCTCTAGATACAATGAGCAACCACCAAATACAATATTTCACCAGACAGATATTAAAGGCCTTAACACAACGGTAAGATTTTTTTGTTCATAACTTTTCTTAGTAGATATTGAATTTAGGCCCCAAAGAATGTTATTTCCATGGGGTTTTGTCTCATGTTTTTTCTTTTCACTATTGAAATTTCACATAGTTAAAGCATATTTGTTGCCAAGGTACCTTCACCCTTGCCCAGTGCTTATTTGGACTGGACCCAGCCCTTCAGGATTCCCAAGAAACTGCTACAAACACTAGTCAGAATATATCTCCACATCTCTTTGACAGAAAATGCGCAGTGCCTCCTTTGCTTGGCAAACAGATCCATGCCATATTCCAGGCTTCCTGGTGTCCTCTTCTGGACATAATTTGCCCCTAGTTGCAAAGCTGATAAGCAGTAGAAGCAGAACTCAAACCCACTTTCCTTGACTCCAAAGCTCTTATCTTTCCATTATGCCATGCTGCCTCCTAATTACTTATATGTACATGTTGTGTCTTTTCCAAAGTAAGCTGAAGGATGAATGGCTTTTTCTCTTACTGAAAAATTTTGTAAGTAGACTCTTGGATGTTTACCTTTTCCTTTTTCAGGTTCTCTCTGGCCGGGTAGTAACAGTGGAAAGCACTCCTGCCCGATTAATGGGAGGACCTCTGGCTGATACAGATATTGCTCTTAAAAAATTGCCTATTCGAGGAGGAGCCTTACAGAGGGTGAAAGCAGTAAAAACTGTGGATGAGCCAAAGAAGAGCATTCCTACGTAAAATACTGGAGATTTCTGAAGTAAATTCTGCTTATAACTTTTTAGTTAAATATATCAATATACAAATGTAAAGCAAATATTTTAGTAAAATACTATAAAAAATAAAAGTAAGTACATAGAATTTATTTTTATTAAAAATATCAACATATAGCATCAGAAGACTTGTCACCAGTTACTTTGGAAAGATTACTAATTCTCTTAACTGAAATTGTAAAACATACTGTATCAGTTAAGACTCTTGCAGTTGCATGTGAACTACTCCAACTGGTTTAAGCCCAGAAAAACACTTTTACAGGTTCAGTAGCCATCAAATCGAGGAATAATTAAGACTACAGGCATTGTTGGACCTAGGGACTAAAACTCTGAGTAGGACCTTCTCTTTCCCTAGCAGTTCCTGGATTATATTCTCCCCAGGTGGATATCCAGTAGAGAAGAGTGCATACCTCTCTCTCAACAGTCTCCACAACTGCCTCTGCATCCTGGGACCCTGGAGTGGCCACATGCCACTCCTGAGCCATTCACCACGACTTTGGCCAGATCTGAGTACTGCCTACTCCTGGAGTCAGAAGCAGGCCAACCCCATCCAAAGCATATGAATGGAGTGGGGAGTCAGGATATTGTTATCATAAGTTTATATCAATACTGGGCGGCAAAAACATTTGCAAGAAATATGTTGGTCAAAGTAAAGTAAGTTATCTCTGTTATGAAAAGCAAATGTTAGTCATGAGCTCAATAATAAAAAATAAAAATACAGATGGTTTTAATCTTAATATTATAAACATGCAAAGCAAACTCTAATGCTACATCTCTTCTTTAATGAGAAAGGGAAAGGGAGAGTGGGGGAAGTATTTTCCCTCCTTTGGTGGTGGAGGTATCTTGCCAAAGAATAGGAGGTAGAAGCCTTAATACTGGATGCAGAGCAAAGTGTCTATGTCCCTCTGTGCCAGTATGAGGTTTCCATAGCCTGTCTCCAGCCCCATCAACCCCCTCCAACACCCAGGAAGCCACAAAGTTGAGTTCATCTCCAGGGCTGGCAGAGACAAGAACCTGTTTTCTTAAACAGGAAAATATACTGGAATTTGAGTCTAGATGCTGGGCCCATAGGATCCATTCAGCAGTGTACTGGTAAATGTACAAGTGGCTCTTCAAGGGGAAAAAGCCCTCATCTGTAGTGTTTGCTGATTTGCATGGTGTAAATATTCCCACCAGGACCAGTTTCAAGCTACCAACATGACACTGCTGAATGCAGAGTTAGGAAGAGATGCATAGAATCCAACTTCATTATCAGATAAGAGAAGGTTCTATCACTCCACTGGGCCCACCTTCTTCTACTTCCTCTTCCTCTTTCCTCCTCCTCTTCCTCCTCCTCCTCCAACTCACATTCCCCCAGGAATTTTCCATTATCCCGTTTGTGAAGATGGTAGCATCTGCAATGAGGGAAGTAATTGCACTGTTGTTATTGTTCTAATTGGAATGAGTTGCCATTACACTTTTGGCCAGTGGCCTCTCACCCTGGCCAAGTTGCCCATTCTCCTTGTGGCCCACAGTAGATAATACACATCAGCTTATCAGTGAGCTTTGTTCTCTCCTGATTCCTCTCTATTACTCTCTATTACTTCTCTATTACTACCACCCCCAACAAGATATTAGAAGACATAATTTGTTCCTCTTCTTCACAGCCCTAAGCACAAATATTCTATGTAAAGGGGAGTTACTGAGACACAAGAGTGGATGTGGGCAGAAACATGCAATGATGAGATACCCATACAATACACTTTCTGCCAACACAGCCTAAGCTTATGTTAGTTTCATTAGCAACCATGTTTCATAATTGCTTGTATTTAGTTTACAGTTAAGGAAATCGTCAAGGATGCCTTCTGAGAAAGAGAAACCAGCCTGATACTATGAGGTCAAAATTCTGTAGATACACCCAGTGCCCAGATCAGTGCCTAATAACATTCTCCAATGAAAGAAACCAGGGCTCCTTGGAGACATGGCTGGTTCTGGGGATAGGGCAGAAATATACAAGATGAGTCTGGAGCATCCTATAGAGTTCCCAATGGCCAATGCTGGAACAATTTGAGCAACAAAATAAATAATGTAGTATTGGATTATAACCCAAAGTATAAATAAATGTACATAAGTCCATATTGATATAAATAAATGATGAAAGAAAAGGAAGGGAGGGAGGGAGCAAAGAGCTGGATGCCACATGCTTTGTGGCCTGTCTCCCCTTGAGGAAAAAGGCAGGACTTTGTGCCTTACAGCTCTAGCTCAATGTAGGACACATCAGAGCTGAAGTTCTAATTCAGCGATATCAGGGCTGGGAAGAAACTGCGTTTCACAGGCCTTTGTAAGAGATGTGTCCCGCGTGCGCTACGCTCTTCATCCCCCCACTACCCGCCAGGATCTGAATTTCCATCTGTTTTTATTTCTCTTTAGCCTGAAGAACTTAGTATTTCTTGTAGCGCAAGCCCAGAGTCAACACATTTGTTTAGTTTTCTTTATCTGAAAATGTATTTTATTTCACCTTTATTCTTGGAAGCTCATTTTCACTGGATGTGTGAACACATCTGAGATGATGTGGTTTTGATCCCCCACCCCCAGCACTTTAAGGATGTTCCACCATCTTCTGGTCTCCATTATTTTTCTGATGAGGAGCTGTCCATCACTCAAATCATAATTCGCTTGTACACAACATGTCATTGTTCTCTGACAGCTTTCAAAATATCTTTAGCTTTCTGACATTTGATGATACTATGCCTAGATGTACGCAATGCAATTCTGATGCTAACTACCCAGTATTAGGTCAAATTTCACAAGTTAAGAGCACATTCCTCCCCTCACTTCAGAAACCAGCTGCAAGCTCCAGGGTTCCCAGGCCACCCATGCTTCTGATCAACTGGCAACAAATTCAGAGGTTCCCACCACCAACTAAGGTTCTGTAATAAGCTAGAATGACTCACAGAACTCAGGAAAGCACTATATGTGTAATTATAGTTTTATTATAAAGGCTATAAATCAGGACTAGCCAAGTGAAGAGACCCACAGAGTGAGGTCTGGGAGGGTCCCAAACATAAAGCTTTTGTGTCCTCAGAACATGTCACCTGCCAGGCACACCGAGGTATAGTTACCAATCAGGGAAGCTCACCTCAGTGCCCAGACTTTTTACTGGAGTTTCATTACATAGGCATGATTGATTGAATCATTGGCAACATACTTCAACTCAATCTCCAGCCCACCCTGCCCTCTTCAGAGGTTGGGCTCTTATCACCTAACTCAAAGCCCCAACCCTGTAATTACGGGGTAGTCATTCTGGTGTGGCCAGCCCCCATCCTGAGTCATCTCATTAGCATAAACTCAGGTATGGTCCCAGGGGCCTACCATAAATAACAGAGACATTCCTATTACTCCAAGAAATTCCAAAAATTTAGAGGTTATCTCCTAGAAACTAGTGACAAAGGTCAGCCAAATTCTTTATTATAAAATAGTGTAGTTTTTTTGTATTTATCTCATTTTGGATTTGTTGAGCTTCTTTTTTTTTTTTTTTTTTGAGGAAGGTTAGCCCTGAGCTAACTGCTGCCAATCCTCCTCGTTTTGCTGAGGAAGACTGGCCCTGAGCTAACATCCATGGCCATCTTCCTCTGCTTTATACATGGGACGCCTACCACAGCATGGCTTTTGCCAAGCGGTGCCATGTCCGCACCCGGGATCCAAACCAGCGAACCCCGGGCCGCCAAGAAGCAGAACGTGAAAACTTAACCACTGCGCCACCGGGCCAGCCCCCTATTGAGCTTCTTGAATGTGTAAATGTATATCTTTCACCAAATTTGGAAAATATTCATCCATGTTTTCCTTAGATATTGTTTCTGCCCATTCTTCCTGTCTCTCATCTCCTTCTGGGACTCTAATTATACATATCTTAGACCTTTCGACATGCTCCTTGAGACTTTGTTCATTTTTCATTTCAATATTCTTTCTCTGTTTTCCTCAGGTTAGATCATTTCTGATGCGGGGTCAGCAAGCCAAAGAGTCGAAAGAAAGATTTCTTGGACTCTCAAGGTCTGGCAGTAGTGCTCTTTTATTTAGAGAATAGTGTGGAATAGCATGGGGACAGGACCCATGGGCAGTCAGAGTTGCTGCTGCTGCATGGGGACAGGACCCACAGGCAGGAGGAGCTGCTGCATGGGGACAGGACCCACAGGCAGGAGGAGCTGTTGATGCAAACACGGGTGGAGGGTAAGGCTAAATTTAAGGCATAGGTATGTGAGTTATCTCTTTACAAGACAAAGGAAAAAATATGTAAAAAAAGTTCTTAAAATGATATTGGGGCAGGTGGGGTCTGGTTAATGGGTGGTCCTATAACTTTTAGATAAGAATCAAACTGGATTAAGTAAATGGCAGAAGCCACCACCTTAAATATTATCTTCAGCTAAAGACAAAGGAGGATGTTGGTGGTGGGGGGAGTCAGCTACGTGAGGTTACCAGACAAGCACAATAAACAAGACTTAAGTCCTTGCCATCCCCATTAAGAGTTTCCAGAGATAAGGTCATCCCCCCTTCCGCCTGGTGCAGAGAGAGAGACACCCCCCACAGATGGAGACTTCCTTCACAAACGCAAATGTCTCTCATCAAAGGGCAAGCAAATTCCACTCCTCAGAGCCTCCTTCTCATCTGCAGTTTTTAAAAGTAACCAGCCTAAAATAATCCTCATCAATTTCTATTGACTTATCCTCAAATTTGCTGACACTTTTTTTTTGTCATCCTCATTCTGCTGTTAAGTCCATCTGGTGAATTTTTATTTCAGGTATTACATTTTTAGTTCTGGAATTCCCATTTCTTTCTTTTTTATAGTTTCTATTTCTCTGCTAGATTTCCAGTATTTTGTTCATGATGCACATATTTTCTTTTATGTCCTTGAATATGTTTATGGTAACTGCTTTAAATCTGTGCTAATTCCAATATCTGGGACATCTCTAGGTTGATCTCTGTTGATTGTCCTTTCTCTCAAAAAATGAGTCACATTTTCATGTTTCTTGGTTTATTAAGTAATTTTAGATTGTATCCTTGATATTGTAAATGTTATTTTCCAACGACCCTGGTTCTATAATACTCTCCCAAAGAATGTTAGGTTTTTTGTTTGTTGGTTTGGTTTGGTTTAGCATGCAACTGGCTTGATTGGGCTATGTCTTTTGGGCAACAGCTCAAATATCAGGTCAGTTCTTTTAGCCTGGGCTTGGCTGCTTGAAGTTTGTTCTCTTCAGGCATGGTTCGCAGGTCAGCAAGAGATTTATAGAAATTTGAGGATTCCTTTCTCTGGGTCCCTCCTTTCCTGGATTTCCCCCTTACTTTCCAGCAACTGTACTTATCCCAAACTCTGTCCTCTCACTTTTCAAGCCAGAAAACCTTGTGTTTTGTATTAGAATTTTAGCCAACGCGTAGGAAGCAGACTGAGGCCTGCCCTTAGACTAGAAACTGTAAAAATAGGAGTTTGAGTGCCTTCCTTCTTACAAATGTAAACTGCCCTCCAGAATCTGCTTACTTTTGGTCATTCTCCAAAGACTTCAGGTATTTGTTCTTTATTTTTCACTTAGTTTATCCTTGTTACATGAATCCTTGTTATATGTAGGAGGCAAGAGCAATCCAGCCAAACTTCCTCTACGGCCCTCATTTTGTAGGTTAAGAAAACAGGCTTAAGGGGGTGTTTCCTTGTTCGTGAGGAATTTATTGGAATTGGGATTTGCCATCATCAG